CACTCGAACCCGCAAGCTATGGTGCGCAATTCACATCAACGAATCCAACCCTGGTCTAGTTATTTGTGAATTCGAGCTTGAGGAAGACCCACTCTACCCACTCGTGCCACCCAACAACAACACGCCCGACCTACCCGAAGATACCTTGTCCAGTCAGCCTACTGCTGATGAATTCTTGGAAAGCACAGAGATCAAAAGTAAGCCTTTGCGAATTCTGCGCAGTGCACGGAAAAGGAAGGGCGAGGCAGCGGCTATGGAGGTCTTCAATATCATGTCGCAGGTGCAAGAACAACTGGCTGCTGCGCCCTCACTAGAAAAGTTTCTAAAGGTGTTAGTTGGAGTCGTCAAAGAGTTGACCGGCTTCCATCGCGTCATGATCTATCAATTCGATCAGAGTTTCAATGGCCGTGTCGTCACCGAGCTCGTAGATCCTCGAGCGACAAAGGATCTCTACAAGGGCTTAAACTTCCCTGCCTCGGATATACCCAAACAAGCTCGAGAACTGTACAAGATCAACAAAGTCCGCATGCTATACGACCGCGACCTACAAACGGCGCGACTCGTCTGCCGTACGGCCGAAGATTTGGAGGTACCCCTCGATCTTACCCACTCATACCTTCGCGCCATGTCTCCGATTCACCTAAAATACCTCGCAAACATGGCGGTGCGATCGTCAATGTCAATTTCGATCAATGCTTTTGGCGAATTGTGGGGTCTTATTGCGTGCCATACGTACGGGCCTCGTGGCATGCGTGTTTCTTTTCCCATTCGTAAAATGTGTCGGATGATTGGTGATTCAGCATCGAGGAATATCGAAAGGCTGTCGTACGCATCGAGATTGCAAGCACGCAAGTTGATCAACACAGTGCCAACACAGCACAATCCCTCGGGGTACATCATCGCCTCCTCTGACGACCTGCTCAAACTTTTCAACGCAGACTTTGGCCTACTGTCGATCCGTGATGAGACAAAGATTTTGGGCACTCTCGAAAATTCACAGGAATCTCTCGCCATGTTGGAGTATCTCAGGATGCGAAGGATCCAGGCTGTAATGACTTCCACCGACATTGCCTCGGACTTTCCAGACTTGCGATATCCGCCAGGTTTCCATGCCATTGCCGGAATGCTGATAGTTCCATTGTCCGTCGATGGCGAGGACTTTATTGTCTTTTTCCGAAAGGGACAACTCAGACAGGTCAAATGGGCTGGCAATCCTTATGAAAAATATGTCAAGGAAGGCACCGAGGGTTACCTGGAGCCACGAAAGAGCTTCAAGACCTGGTCCGAGACAGTTGTCGGCAGGTGCCGAGAGTGGACAGAGGAAGAGATTGAGACCGCCTCTGTGCTCTGTCTGGTCTATGGAAAATTTATTGAAGTATGGAGGCAAAAGGAAGCTGCTCTGCAAAGCAGTCAGCTGACCAGATTATTACTTGCAAACTCGGCACATGAAGTCCGTACACCACTAAACGCCATCATCAACTACCTGGAGATAGCGCTAGAAGGGGCTCTAGATACAGAAACACGAGAGAACCTCTCCCGGTCTCATTCGGCATCCAAATCACTCATCTACGTAATCAATGATCTCCTCGATTTGACCAAGACTGAAGAGGGCGGGCCCCTTATCAAGGGCGAGCTGTTTGATCTCAAAGACACCATCAGGGAAGCCACAGATATGTTCCGCAATGACGCCAAAAGAAAGAACATCGACTACCAAGTCATTCAGCATCCAGGCTTGCCTGATCACTGTATCGGAGATCAGCGACGAATACGGCAGGCCATCTCCAACATTACAGCCAATGCAATTCAGCACACCACTCAAGGATGTGTGAAGGTTGAAGCATACGTTGCAGCCAGAACGGGTCGAGACCACGTCGATATCGAAGTAGCAGTGTCTGACACAGGTGCCGGCATGAGCCAGAAGAAGCTTGATCAGCTTTTCAACGACCTCGAGCAGGTGCAGTCTGAGCCTGCCTCCATGCTAGAGGATGCCTTGATACCAGATCAGAAAAAGCTCGCGGAACAAGGTGAAAAATCGACGTTGGGTCTTGGGCTAGCCATTGTAGGACGTATCATTAGAAACATGAACGGACAGCTAAGGTTACGCTCAGAGGAAGGCAAAGGCACAAGATTTGTCATACAGTTACCGTTCAATATTCCAGACTCTGAGGCAGACAGCGTTACCACTGGTGGAGCCTCACCTCCAGGAAGCGTTACGCCTCACGCCTCAGAGCCTCTGCCTAACATTTCCAGTCCCACTGCTGGAGAGCGGACGCTGATAGCGCCAAGTCTGTCTCGCCAGGGTTCTGCAGACGAAGATGACAAACAGACAAGTCATGTTGTCGTACGGAAGACTAGTACCGGGAGTTTGACGAGCAAGAATAGCCTCCGAAGTTTCAAGACTAGCTCGAGTCAAAGAAGCGATGTGGACAGACTTATTGACGCCATACAAGAGCCACACTTAATAGGGAGAGGTGACGCGAGCCCAGGCTCGCGGTCTATGAGGCCAACTCTGACGAAACGCAGCAGTCTAGATCCGGATGCATCAGCCGCTACCCGTAGGAGGTCCAAAAGTCTTGAAGACTTTAGTAGCCAGACTGTTGTTCCGCCTCATCAAAGAATCATGCAGTCAAGGGTACCTGGTGAAGAGGCAATTCCCGGTTCCGATGCTCCTGTCGTGGCCTTGAAGGTTCCCGATGAAGGCGGTAGCTCTCCAGTTGGTGTCCGCCCATCTGGAAACATAATCGGTGAGGTTGCTGAAGAAGAGCCTGTACAGCCGACTGCTGAACCGAAGCCTTTATCAGCTGACAACATGCGTGTGCTTGTTGCTGAAGACGACCCGGTGAATAGCAGAATTGTTAAGAAGCGGTTGGAGAAGCTTGGACACCACGTTCACCTTACCGTGAATGGTGAAGAATGCGCATCTGCATACTGCGACAACTCCAAAGACGTTGATGTCGTCTTGATGGATATGCAGGTATGTGCGGTTGACTACGTATATCGTCTGACATGAACTAACCATCATCTAGATGCCAATTGTGGATGGACTCACCTCGACAAAGATGATACGATCATTTGAAAAGTCACATGGTAACATATACTCTCCCCGAGCAGCCCTTTGCGGACGCGTTCCTATCATTGCAGTCTCAGCATCCCTGGTTGAGCGCGATCGCCAGCATTACATTGACGCTGGGTTTGATGCCTGGATCCTCAAGCCGATTTCATTCGACCGGTTGAACCGACTTATGCGCGCCATTGTCGACACAGATGTCCGGAACGACTGCCTGTATCAGCCTGGTGCGTGGGAAAAGGGCGGCTGGTTCCAACGCGGAAAGCATACCGCCGACGAAGCCGTGACGAAACCGTCTGGTGAACCACCAGTCTCGAATCCCTCAGAAGAAATGGAGGAAGCAGGAGTACTTCGCTCTGAAGACCCAATGGCTGGCGAGGAAAAGGAATCAGGTGATATTCCTGAAGAGCAAGCACGGCTTCTCCAAAATCAAGAGGAAGGCAAGACGGAACCACCCCCTCCACCAGCATCTTCCCCACCTCCTGCTGCTGCCGATGAAGCCGACGCCAAGAACCCTCCTACGTGAAAAGATATACATGACCTACCTATACACATTTTCTCTTCCATCTCAAAAGTTCCCCACACCCCCATCATTTCTGTCCCAGGCGAAACAAAAAAGGGCAAAGGCGGAGGGTGAGGGGCTGGTGCACTGACTTTGCTATCTTTGCAACAAACCAACTTAGATGAGAGATATTTTTCTTACTAGGTCCCATTGCTCACCATCACCATAGCAAAAGCACTAACAGCGGTCTACGTTATTTCTTCCTTTCCTCCCTTCTTCTCTTCTTATTATCCCTTTTTCATATCTCCTTTTCATCCCTTGCCACTTTACTCAAAAGGTAGCAAACGTACACGTACACGCAGCACTTTTTTTTTTACTTATTTAACGTATCGCAAATCCGGGGAATCATATCTGGTCTTCCTTCCCTACCCTCTACTCTCTTGTCTCTCTCTCTGCCTTTGCATCTGTTCAAAGGGAACGTTCTTGGGCTTCTTGAGTGTGTATGTTGTGTAGTATCGTGAATGATCTGATGATGTTCCTGCACCTGTACCTGCACCTGCTTGCTGTTGGGATGAAGATGAAGATGAGCTGGGGATTGTATTATGAAATAAACATGCTTTTTTTCTGGGGACTAAGGGCGTTCTGGTGTCTGTGGAGAAGCTCAGAAAGCATCTTTTTTCATTTTTCTTCTTCTATCTTGTATTCTTGTCTCCCTTTTTTTTCTTTTTTTTTCTGTATAACTAGTTATCTATTTATATTTATTTTACTTGGCTGGGGTGTGGAGGGGGGTGTTTGGCTTTAACCCATTCTAGGGCTGGAGGTTCTCCCATTGGCTACGGTGTTTACTGCCGACGGTATGGAAGGCTTGTTCTTTTTTCCCCTCGGCCCTTCTTCGTCGTATTCCTCGTTATTTGGGCGGCTGGCCGGGTGTTGGCACGCGCCGTGTGACGATGGGATGATTGGTAGAAGGAGTATCAAAGTAGACATGTGATTAACTTAGAGAAGCTGGGTCCTTTGGTGGAAACAAGCAAAAAAAAAGCGGAATCATCTACCATACTTCTCTCCTCCCTACACTTAGATGCATGATCCATCTTACATTAAGAGTGAATAATACCTAAGCAGTTGCCAAAAAGTAGAACATTCAAGCTTGTATTAAAAGATTGATTATCTCATTCCTACAGCTACATAAATAAAAATCATCATAATGTTTTATCCCCGCTTTTGGATAACCTGAGAAACAGAGGAAAATAGGTTTTTTGTTTCGTCATCATGTACATCGTAGTCCAATTCTGACATCAAAGAAGGAGAGATAGGGGTAGTCCCAATAGGAGTGGCCCCTCTTCTCTCTACCTCATGGCATGATCCAATACTCACCAGAGATAACAATACGTCACCCCCTGGATCACGACTCACCATCATGAGTTCATGCGCTTAGGAGCGCTCCCTACGACCGCCGTTACCACCTTTGGACACAATGTCGAGGATCAATTGGCGAGCCTCTTCGCATCCGTCCCTGGTGCCGACAATCTCAATAGCTTCATCCTTGGCCTGGTCACGAGGGACCTGAATCTTGGTGCCCGTCTTCTTGCGGAGGTCGTTGATGGTGGAGCCACCAGGTCCGACAACGAGCCTGTAATTTGTTAGCATGATACTTCGAATATGGAAGAAGGATATAACAGAACTTACCTGTAGCTTCGTGGGTCGGGCAGGATGAGGTAACCAGTGGAAGAGGGCTTGGAGGCGGCCTCAATGGCCTGCTCGAGCCTCTGGCGAGCCTTGGGCAGGTTCTCAGCAGGGCCGCGCAGAATCCAAGGAATAGTGGCCGAGGTATCAGCACCCTCCTCTACAACGTTGTTGTCGACAATCTCCCATGAGTGCTCATTAGAGCCGTTGGTCGCATCGTCGGTGATCAAAGGCAGAGCCCCGTTTGCGCCCTTCCTGGACTTTCCGGCTTCGGTTTGAGCAGGCTTAGGAGGAAGTTGCTCGCCGCCGTGGTCAACAGTGACTTTGTGTTGGTTGCGAAGCTGACGGAAGAACTGGCCGTTATCCGAAATGGCGTGGTGGAGGTAGCGAGGAACCTGGATGGTCTCGCCTTCTTGACCCTTGACGAGCTCAAGAATGTGCTCCTTGGCCTTCTCAACAGCGGCAGGCTCACCGGTAATCTTGACTTGATTACGGGCAGCGCCAGTGGTGGTCTGCTTGGGAATATCAAGCTGGATGTTGAGCTTGGATTCGAGAGAGCGACGAGTTTCGCCACCGCGGCCAATCAGTAGGCGATGCTTGTCAGGAGAGATATCGAGGGTCTCGGTAGTCTGGTTCTCAAGCGTGGCTACCTGTGCCTTAATAGCGGCAACAATCTTCTCAACGACACTCTTGGGACCCTCTACACGAATGCTGGACTCGTCAGACTCGGCGCGTGGGAAGCGCACCATGCGTGCCAAATCGCGAGAGTTGTCGGGGCCACCAGCGGAGGTGACAATGGAGCGGATGTTAGCACCACTGCCGCCAATAAGGTTCCTGTGATGTTTCCTGTCAACTTCGAGAGTCTCCACAACAGTATCATCAAACTCCTGAGCACGTTGCTGCAGAATCTTCTTGGCTGCCTCGACCTGCTTCTTGGTTCCCTTAAGCTTGATCTCGGCACGGCCAGAAGGATCGGCACCTTCACGAGCACCGGGGACATCGATCTGGCATCCAGTCTCGAGACGGAGGTTCTCCATTTCACGGCCACCGGATCCAATCAAACGTGGGATATTGCTCTGTGCCACCGAAACAGTGTCACTGTAGGAGTTGTCCATGATGTACTGAAGAAGGCTCAGCACCTCATCACGGGCTTCGTCGGCACCCTTCCTGGGGCCTCGAACGATGACTTCATCTGGGTTCTGGCTAGGGCGGACATTCTTCTGTGATGATCCTTCGCCCGCCTCCTCGTCGTTTTGTGCTCGTCGAGGGAAGTTGATGCGCACACCATAGCGGTCCTGCAGACGCTCAACTTGCTTGCCGCCAGCGCCAATCAGGTCACGGTGGTACTGTGGCTTGACTTTGAGGATGTGGGTAGCTTCGTCTTCGAGCTTCTTGGCCATGTCAAGAATGTCCTTCTTGCACTGTTGGGCCTTGGCTGAAGGTCCCTTGAGCTCAACCTTGCCATCGTTGATCTGGACATCAACATCGTACTTTTGACGCAGACGTTGAATATTCTCTCCACCCTTTCCTACAAGGTGGCTGGCATACTTCTGAGGGTAGTCAAAAGTAGTGATGTGATTGCGCTCGAGCTCATCCTTTTCAGCTTGCTCAATGAAAGCAAGGATCTTAGCGTTAAGCTCATCAACAGCGTTTGTGGGTCCACGGATGGCAAAGCTGTTGTTTGACTGGCTGTAAGGCTCAGGTCGTCGCTGACCAAACAGAGCCTGGACGGGAACCTGCTCTGGCGCAAGGCCACGCTGCTCATCGTTGACGAACTGCTCAATCTTGCGGTGGAACTTGGGGTTGGACTCGAGGCCACGAGACTCAATCTTTGGCTGATCCTTGGTCAAACCGAGAATGAATCGCTGGGCATCCTGAAGACCCTTCTGGTATGCCTTGATCTCGGCCTGGGATGGTGCGCCTCGTGGGAGGTCATACTCGTCGTATGGAGTGTTGCCTTCGTAAACAAGGACCAACTCAGGCGACTGCTCGGATTCGTCTGGGAAGACAATGTGCACACCGTGGTCTTGCCTGACCTTGGGTGCGTTGCGCTGTCGCAGGAAGTCGTGGTAAAAGGGATCAACATTCAGAGTAGAGAACCTGCTTGGTGGATGCGATTGGAAAAGGCTCATGATATCAGTACGGGCCTTCATGCTGTTCTTTCCATCCTTGGCGTAGATTTCCCATCCAGTTGGCGCGTGGCGGTCGGTAGGCGCGACGATGCTAGCTTCGTGCTTACGTTCGAGCTCTTCAAGGGCCTTTCGTTGACGTAGGTAGCGAGTCAAGTTGTGGGCGTGTGTCTGAGCGTTAGGGCCCTTGTGCTCACGGGCAGCGTCTGCAGTCGCCATGGTCATACTGGCAGCAAGATCCTCGAGCTTATTGATACCTTGCTCGATCTTGTCTGGTGGACCGACAATGTAGACAGTCTCGCTATCGTCCGAGTTAGGAGGCAGAACGATGCTACAGCCAGTCTCCTCCAAGAAGTCGTGGAGCGAGTGACCGCGGTCGCCAACAATGAATTGGTGCCTACCACGCTCAATGGATCGCTGCTCGGTAGCCAGCTGTTGGCGCAGCTGCTGAACGCGGCGCTCCAACTCAGCTTGGATCTGCTGGGCAGCTACACGGTCACCAGAAACCTGGATAGGGAAGTTTGCCTGGGGGACAAACTGAGCAGGCTGGCCACGTGGGGCTACGGGAGGAGCCTGCGACTGCCAAGTATGGTATTGAGGAATCTGGATGTTGACATCGCGGCCTTGGACAAGCCTGTTGGCGTGGACATTGTTGGGGCCTGCGAGGAAAGGATAAAACTCGGCGGGGATGTCCTTGAGGCGCAGGTTGACGGTCGAAGTGCGTTCGTTGACAATAGCGTCAATCTCACGACGAGCCATCTCAGCCGTCACAGCATTGCCCTCAATGTGAACGTTGACCACAGTGTCCTCATCCTCACCCGGCTCGGCCTTGGGAACCTGAATACGGGCACCGGTGCGTTTGCTGATTTCCTGGATCTTGGATCCTTGACGACCGATGATGTGGGCACGGACGGAGGCAGGGACGGGGACATCGACGGATTGCTACAGATGGTAAGCTTTTGTATGGAATACGCTGTTACTCGTGACTGATGGACTTACCTTGGAACCAACCTCATTGGCAACTTCCTTAAGGGCCTGCCTGACGGCCTCGACAGAACCAGTGGCTTCGAAGATGAGGGCGCCGGGAGCCTGCTTGTACTCGAGGTTGGCCTTGGATCGCCTGTTGATGTCGCGGACGATTTCATTGATGGGCTTCTTGAGCTCGCCGCGGGGAGCAACCTGGTGAGATGCGAGGGAGATACGTTCGGTGTGCTTGCCGGGGATGCTCATGGACGGAAGGGCGGGGCCACGGCCGGCGGGGGCGGAGGCACCATTGCTATTGACGCCATTGGACGTGATCGAGGCAGGCTTCTTGCCCCAGGTGGGCGCAACAGAAGCCTGGGCTCGGGGCTTAACGGGACCAAGAGCCGGGAAGGCCTCCTCAGACGACGTGTTGAGGGCGGGCTTCTTCGGGGCAGCCGGGGCATCATCAGCCTTTTGCTTGCCAGCAGCCTTCTCGCTCAGAGGAGCAGAGGCATCGGCAGCCGAAGAGGATGGGTTGGCAGCGTCCTCCTCGTCGGGGACATCCTCAATGGTGACGTGGTGGTCGGCATGCTCCTGCTGAAGCTTCTGCGCCGGGGTGAGACCCTCGGTGGCCGAGCTGGCGACTGCTTCGGATGCCATTGTTCAGTGTAGACCGTTTCGAGTGGACCAAAGGGTATTCGCGTGGACGGTGGGTGGTGGGAATTAGGAATGCGAAGCCAGCTTGGGTGGTTGCAGGCAGGGACAGAGTGGCCGGTTGACGGTGGTGTGGTGTGCGAAGGGGGAGGGACAAAGACGGTGAGGTGAGTAAAAGGGCTACGGTGGTAGAAGGGCAAGGTGCTACTGGGGTTTTTAGTGCGTTGGCTGTGCGTAGCAGCAATTGTAATAGGCTGCTGTCACTCAGCCAGGCAGAGGAATAGGTGCGCGGCCAGGGTCTCGGTAATTCACTTTAGGGTAGCGCAACAGGCCACGACGTGTACTTGCAAACAGACGGAGATGGGCTCAATTAAATACACACTAGATGGCTACTCTCCGACTGCCCATTTGTCTATACGGGCGGGGCTCAATGGATGCAATTGCTGTCGTGTCTTCGCAGCACAAGTGGCCGGCTGTCCAGAATGTCCTCGAACTTACCTGGACCCCTGCTTCCCGATTCCCCACCACTGCCAACCCCGGCAAGCCTCACAGTAGGCTGCGCTAGTCCGCAACCGCTAACCTCCGCATTCTCGTCTCTCTGCGCCATCGACGTCTCTCGCCACTTGGCTGCATATAACTCTACGTGTGCTTTGAATACTTCTCATTCAATCATAATACACTGTTGACATGTATACAGACATTAAGATCATAGTTTCGTAGATACCAGCCATACTCGACAAAATAAATACTACACAGCAGAAGGCACAACAAACAACAGAAGTATTAATCGACCAGCAACAAAGGAAGAAAAATCCACTCAAACACATAGACCCTTTTCACTAATCATCCCCCTTAAGCCGCCTCGACTCCCAAACCGCCTCCCCAAATCTATTCTTAACCACCAAATCCCTATAACTCCCCCCACGAAACAACCTCTCCTTGCCTATCTCACAAACCACCTTGGGCATCCCCCCACCCTTCCCCTCGGTAACCATATTCATAAACTTCTTCTTACACAACTCCATACTTAGATCAAACTCATACACAGTGGGTACGCCCACTCCGCCCCTCACCTCGCGCATCCCGTCATCGATCCACACTTTGAAAACCCATTTGATGGGTTTCTTGTCAAAGGCGGTGAGTTGGTAGGTGAAGATTAGGGGCGAGTCGCTGGTTATTCGGGTGGGGGTGTGGCGCGAGCAGTAGGTGTCTAGGGCCCATTTCCATTCGGTGACGGTGGGGTTGTGGACTTTGTTGGCGGGACAGGCAAAGGGGTTTACGCGGGGGGTGATGGTGTTTTGGGGAGTATCTAATGTTTCTTTTAAGTCATGGATGGGCGAGGCTAGTGTGATGAGTGCCCATCCAAGGACTGTGGCATACTTGAGTATGTACATTATTGACTGCTCTTCCAGATGTGCGTTTTGCAGGGAGAATTGTAATCGACTGATGTGTGAAATCCACTCTCTCATATATCAAAGTTCCGAATCAATTCCTTCATTGTCAGATACTCGGACTCTCTCCTCTCCGTATTCGGGACTCGACAAAGGTGCAGCAAAGCCACGCAGACACAAAGAAATATAATGCCATTACGTAGCATACCCCGCAAACAATGGAAACTAGCGTCTAAGCAATTAACACCAGATAGTTGTCACTGGTATCTCTCTTCTCGAGTCAACCGGAAGTAACACCCAATACATCAAGTCTGCCGAAAATCCAGGATGCTCAGAAAACTCATCCCCCCACAGCCCCTCCCCCCCCCTTATTAAAACAAGCCATAAACACACCCTCATTAGAATATGTACTCATCTAAACCTCCCAAGAACAGAAAACCACCTGCATCCTTAACCCCCCCTCCTCCTAGCCTCAACCCTCACACCCCCCCTCTTCCCCTTCCACCCCCTCACCCCCATCCCTCCCTCCCTCTCCACACACTCCCCCTCCCCCCTCCCAAACCACTCCAAACACGCCTCCACCCCAGCCTCCATGCTCCCTCCGCCCAGAAACCCTCCTTGCTCCCACACCGCACTCAGCACCCAAAACACGGGCCTCCCCCTCGCATCCGTAAGGCTATATGTGAACACCAGTTTTTCATTCGGAACGAGAAATCGCGAGGGGGTGAAGTGGCGGGTGCAGTATGTGTGGTAGGCGAGGCGGTATTGCGGGAGTGTGGGGTGGGGGGTGGATGGACAGGGGGTTTGTTGGGGTAGGGCGGTGATGAGGTGGATGAGGGAAAGGAGGATGGGGAGAATTTGAAGATGCATTTTTGAACATATAATTGAAGTGTCTGCTGGGGGGTTGCAAGAAGTGTGTGTGTGTGTGTGTGAGTGTATTATCGCAGTCGTAAAATTTGTGCGAAAAGTTTGGGTTAAAAGAAAGGGCGAAAGAAGATATATATATCCCCATATAAATCCTTGAGCTCTACTATTCACAAAATATCAGAATAAAAGTCCTGAATAGACTGTTTTTTCTTGAATAAAACAAAAAGTTTGTGAATAAAACACATGGATACCTGCTTCACTCTCTCTCTCACTCACCTTTTTTCGCTAAGCGACCAACACCCCTTTCCCCCCCTTCCTCCCCGCTGGATAGCCGTCGCACCAAGAGACAGTCACTCGCACCAAGGGACAGTCAGTCATGCAGGAAATGTGATGTTACCAATCCCTGATTTGCAATATGTAACAATGACCGCTTGACCAGTAGAGAGAACAAGTTGAAGATTGTAACCAAAAGAAACTTACACTGATATGAGAGCCCTTTGTTGAATCTACAAAACAACAATGGCAGAACAAAGAAATCCCCAAAGTTTCCACTTTTAGACAAGACAATGGGAAAAGTGGCAATGCTGAGCAAAACTTGATTTTTTTTCTTCATCTTGCGGTCGAGCTAGTCAAGCACACATGCAACTTTGTCCAATATATCTTACAAAAAAGGATTCCATGGTATCTTTCATTCTCGAGGTCACACACCAATTCCATCCACTAAATGATACCTAGTGTAACACCTTACAGCTACATCATGTCTCAATTCACCCGTCCCTCAAAGGCCGCTCCTATCGGTAAAAACCAGAAGCATCATCTCCACCTACAGGCGGAGCACTCGGCACTTGCCCTCCTGGTCGGTATGGAAGATACCCTTGTGGCGCAGGACTAGAAGAATTTCCTGGTGGGGCTGGCGGGGCGTATCCGGGCTGTGCGGGTGGATAACCATGTCCTTGCTGAGGTGGTTGCTGTCCATGCGATTCTGGCCCATGCTGTTCATGCGGTGGTCCCTGTGGCGGCCCCTGTGGAGGTGGCGATGTCAGTTGCTCATAAGGATTCTGCTGGCCTTGTGGCGGGCCTTGTGGAGGACCTTGTTGTGGAGGATAACCGTTTCCTTGTTGTGCAGGCGGATAATCATATCCTTGTGGTGCTGAAGGACCTTGAGGCTGGCTGGGACCGTGGAAAGAGTGTCGGTTGTCTACAGGTGAATCGTAATGCGCTGTCGACAATTCCTGGGGTCCGTAGCTTAGTGGCCGGCCGCCAACAGGCACTCTACTTGGTGGTAGTGAGTAAGGGTCAGATGGTAGTCCAGGTTGCGGGGTTTGCTGCGTCCGTTGCTCTCCAGGAGGCACCATGAAGAATGCAGGACTTGCACCTGCAGGCGGGGCCTGAGACGGGGGTGCATGTTGGGCAGGAGGTGGCCCGCCGTAGTTGAAACGACCTTGATCTTGGTGCGGTGTAGAGGATGTTGGTGGGTACGCCGGATAATTCGAGGGGGGAGGGGCATTGTATGCGCCATAAGCAGGACGGCCACCGTATGGAGGTTGCTGCGGCTGCGACATGGATGCCTCCAACATTGATTCGTAGTCTCGACGAGCCTTGATGAACTTTTCATTCAACTGTGTAAAGTCATCTGATTTGGTTAGTTTCCGAAGCGGTTGTGGGTGTCTAATGAACGTACCTTTCTTCTGAGAGTACTTGCCAATGAGCTCAATCAACTTTGGCCGGATAGCCAGGGTCGAGTGATACAGCTCTGTAATCTCCTCGTTATCCCGCGCATCACCGCCACCGGGTTGCGAGCTGGTGCTCAACAGGGCAAGCAGCTTCTCAACATTCCTTATTTGCGCAAACACCTCGGCCTCATTCTGTGCTTCCCGTTCGAGTTCCTCACGCGTCGGGTCTTGCAACTTCTCCACATAGTTGAGCGGGAAAATGCCAGTCTGTCCACGTAGCGATCCCTTCCACCAGTCCTTGTAAACCGATTCGAGCACAGCGATAATGTCACCCTTGCGGAACTGTAGTTCGCCGGGTTCCGACGGTTGGAAATCGAAGAGCGCCCGTACTCGCGACACAGTCGCAGCGGTCGTGCCTTGAGGCACAGGCTGCGCTGGTTGTTCTCGTTGGGCGCTAGATCCGGATCCGCTTTGCTGAGGGTTGTTGGAACTGGCGGCCGTTGGAGCTGCGCCTTTGGACTCTCTGATCGACATAGCAAGAGCCATCTGTAGTTCCTCCTCCTCCTTCTGGCGCTCGGCATCCGAAATCTGTGTCTTTTGTGGCTTCGAGGGCGCGCGAAGGTTGGGATCTATTTTGTGTAAGCACCGCACCATTCAACTACTATGGAGCTGACATACTCTGTGACTTTAGCCTCATATATGCGCTTGACATGATGCCGAGATCTGGGTCGCGGGAAAACATTTCGGTCCATTCTGCCATGCGCTCCAGGATCTTGGCCTTGACTTGCTGGTGTGTGTTGCGGTCGTTTGCGAGCCTTAGCAGTGCCTCGGTAAAGCTTCGTGAAGCAAGCTCCTTATGCATTTGGGCTCCACAGTTCTGGCTCAGGGCATTCGCAAGCTCAAGAGTATATAGTTGTACGTTGGCGTTCCGGTGGGCTAGCCGCCTGATCATGGCAGCAACTGCATCTTTTGCGCCTGTGTCGGAAGATCCGACCTTGTCGCATACATCCTACAAGGGCGAGTCAGTATTCTGCAAGTCTCCAAAGCATCGAGACATGTAGTTGCAGCGTAGGCCCACAGCGCGCAAGCTATCGACTTTGCCATTAACCCCATGACGTGGGTTGTGATCGTACCAGAATGTATTCCCAGTTCTCACTCGTGAGGTTCTCGTCAGTAGCCTTGACCACAACATCATCGAAGATGTTCGACTGTCCGCGAAACATGGCGGTTTACCCCGTCGCTTTGGGCGTTGCTGGACCTTGAGTATGGACGATGTTCAAGTGCGGATGTTGCCTTGAAGCGGGTCAGACGACGGGCGGCAGTAAGCGCAATGCAGCACAGGGTCCGCTGGGCGAGTCTAGAAGATTAGCGTGTGATGGCGTCCTTGAGGATCGCAAAAGAAATAGGTCTGTATGCTCGGTTTTTGTAGATAGAGGTCTGGAAGGTAAAGCTCAAGTCAACGCGCTGTTGCTGTCGTATGCTGAGAGGCTTGAGGCTTGGAGCTATCCGCCCGACGGGCGTGCGCCGCCGCCCAAGCAGTTTAGCGGGGGGTTGATGACGAACACTGTGGCGGTTACCTACTCAGCCACTCAATCACGGGCCACAATTCATGCGGTCAACTACTACTGTATTCAATTCCACGGCAACCACGATGACCTTTCAGACAACTGCATTTACAGAAAACTATAGAATGTATTCGGCTTTTTCTTGTATGCCGAGAATGCGGCAAGATGACAAGACTGTAGCCCCTTCCCAAAGCGTATAGACACTAAAAATTGCAAATGGTGTATAAATAATCGTATAATGGCATCCGTCCCATGAAGCACAAACAAATGTGACATAATGACTCCCTCGATGCGCGCCTGCATCGATACTCGACTCTTTTTTTCTTTTGAAAAACACGACAACAGGTAGTGCTTGCTGAAGACACAACGGCTGAAACAAGACGGAAAGGATTGCTGACTCGGTCCAAGACGATCCACGGGGCTCCAAGTGAAGAAAAGCAGTATGAGGCTTCGACCTTTGCATACCGACTCTAAAGCCAACGTGCTGCCCTGGCTCGGCTATAACGTCAAACCTGATCGTTTGGAATGCAACCACTCGGTTTGGTGGTGTGTACTGCGAAGTATAACCGCAAGCGTCCATTGTTTGCCTGGCGTCATCGAGTCGCTCTACAATTCCGTCGTCTTGCCATACCAGTTGGTAAACGAGTTCGCATTCGTACTGGACGAACCGTGACCGTTGTTCTGTAAAACAAGCGTACCTAAGTGCCGGTGTCAAAAAAAACACTCTTTACCAAAACAAAACTTCACATGCCACCCTTCTTCCGCCTCTCTTCTGCTCTTGCCTTCCTTGCCGATTGCACCAATGGCGCTAGTGTGCTCAAAGGCTCAGCAGTTTGAATGAAGGGGTGCTATTAACATGTCAGCTATTGTTTGACCTTTTTTTTTGTCTGGTTCGCCCGACTCACCACTAAGAGATCGTGAGCACTAGCTCGCTTGTCCGGGTCAACCTTAAGCGAAAAGGCTAGGAAGTCGCGGAACACTGGTGACAACGCGTGTTCTTCCTTGATCGTGGGCGTTCCATTGGTTGCGATAAGCCAAAGCGCACGCAGCGGGCTTTCATTGAGGTATGGTGGCTCTCCCTCAATCATCTCAATAGCCATGATACCAAGTGACCAGATATCGACCTTTCGGCCATACTCCTTGCGCGTGACAACCTCAGGGGCCATCCAGTAAGGGGTGCCCACCATTGTGGTGCGCTTGTTGTGGCTTTCGTTGATCTGGGCGCAAAAGCCAAAATCGGCTGCGTGGCATGTTAGAGCACGTCACATGTCAATTTGAAAATGTCACTTACTTAGCTTGATGTTTCCTTCTTGAGAGAGCAAGATATTGTCGGATTTGATGTCTCGGTGAATGACGCCCTTGGAGTGTAGATGCTGCAAGCCGTGCAATGTCTGCCAGAATTAGCCTCAGAACTTGGGAACTAGGCACGCGTACTCACTTCTCTGCACACAGCGGCTATTTGACCCTCTGACATGATGTTGAAAGTGACCACATCTGTCAAACTTCCGCCCTCCATGTACTCCATGACTACCCAAAGATCGCCCCTCAGCAAAAAGCTATCCATGAAGTTGACAATGTTCTTGTGCTTGCTGTTTTTCATGACGAGAATTTCGTTGATAATCAGGTCTTTCTTGGGTTGCTGCTCCAGATTCATCTGCTTAATAGCCACGCATTTGTTGGTGTGGACCTCGAATGCCATGAAAACACCACCAGAAGCACCTTGACCAATCTTGCTGAGGTTGCGGTATCTCTCTCTCGGGTCGGCGTTGGTACAGATGGCATTGAGCTTTGCAACGATATCGGGTCCCTGGCTTTGTCGAGGCCTTTGGCGCGCGCGTGGGGCCGGGCCTACATGAGCAGGCTGCGGCTGCTGCGCTTGTTGCGATGGTAGCGGGATGTTCTGGGGATCCGATTGTTGCGCAAACACCTGTTGAGGCGTGGGCTGTACATGCACGGGGGCTGGTGGGGGCGCGTGTGCCGGCTGAGGGGCTCTCTGGCTAACGCTCCTACTCAAGGGTGCCTTGGGTTGTTGGAAAGAAGCCATTGCCATTGCCTGTTGCTGCTGTTGCTGATACTGCTGCGCGGGGGAGATGGTGGGCGGGCCAGCTGGAGAGTCGAAACGCGGCGGTGTTCCTCCCGTTGTGTTTGCTCGACTGCGTGACGACGATGAGCCACTGGGGCTCGCAGAGGGGGCTGGTGCAGCATAGGCGGTCTGGGGAAGGTCGTATTCCTGGCGAGGGGTAGTTTGTTGCGTGGCATTCGGGCCTGGGGCCGGGGGAGGGGGTCTGGACGGGGGAGCAACAGTAGAGCCTGGCGAAGCACCTGGGGGCTTGGGAGCTGGACGGTTCGGTATGAGAGCTGCTACATTAGTCTGGGGAAGGTTGGAGACAGGCGAGGTAAGACTGCGAGGAATTGGCGGGGGAGCGCGGGGGTTCTCGAAGCTAGACTGGTCGTTCCGTGGAAAGCGAGGGCTTTGCGGGGGACTGAGTGGTTGGGCAGTGCCGTAGTTTGCGGTATTGTTGTTGTTGTTGTTGGCGGAGGTGGGGGTGGTGCTATTGTTGTTTTGGGTAATGTTAGCCTGGTAAGCGTAGGCTTGAGTGTGCGCGGGGCCCATCTTGTCCCAGATGGTATCGTCCTCGTTCTTCTCGGCATTGTCCTTGTAGAAGTTGACCACATCGACGACAGCCTGGGGGTGCTGCTTCTGCTCTTCCTGGGAGATGCCATTCTGCTGCAGCATGCGCTGCCATTCCTTGGGGAGACCCTGTGTGGTGTGTTAGCGAACGAGGGGTTCGAGGGTTGGGGTTGGGGTTGGGTGGGATAGCTCTGGAGAGGAGGAGTAGGAGGGGGGGCACGCACCGTATACTCGCCCGTCTGGTTGTCGATGCTAACGTGGGTGACATGCATGGGGTTGGTGGGCGTCGAGATGGTTGGGCGGCGCGGGGAGCCCAACATGCTGCTCATGAAGGTGGAAAAAGTTCCCTTTTTCTTTGCGCCGCCAGACAGTCGCTTCTTTGCCGTGTCGGTGGTGGGCTGGGAGCCGGAGCCGCCATCGCTGTAGCGGTTGGTCTTGGGCTGGCCAGTCGAGGGCGGGGTGGTCGAGTCCATGTTGGAGGTGAAGGAGCGCGACTGTCGCAGGTAGCGGGCAGGCTGGTCGGTGTGCGAGTGCTGTGGGCCAGCGGGCCTACGTGGTGCGTTGGCGTTGGATGCGTTGAGGGCCTCCTCGACGATGCTGTTGAAGGGCTGACCGACGGCGGCCGGGGGCAGGTGGGCAACCGAAGGCGGGAGCTGGTAGTGGGCCAGATGGTCGACATGCGCGTGGTTCTGGTACTCGTGGACGGGCGTCAGCGAGGGGCTGCGGCGGAGCGACGAGGCTCCCGGTGTGGTAGCAGGCGAGAGCGAGGCCGCTGAGCCCGTGCCAAGGCCTTGATGGGGTGCAAAGTAGGATGCAGCACTTGGGGCACGCTTCAACGTGGTCGACTTGTTGTTCAGATAAGCGATTGGGGGATGGCGCTCCTTCTTGACCAGCCGCCTCGACGACGGCTTTTCTTCCATGTTGCCGGCTGCGCCCACTGGCTGCGGCGTGGACGGCGACTGGCGCAATGCGGCCCTGGGGTTTGAGGGGGTTTCACTGTGGCCGCGGCCGGGTGATGTGAGTGGGCGTGGTGGTGGTAGTGGTGACGAGGACGACGAGGATGGAGAGGACGACGAGGATGGAGAGGACGACGACGACTACGAGGGAGACGAGGAAGCCGACTGCGGGCTGGCGAGGGCCAGGCGGATTGGGCGAAATGGGCGACGATGCACGGTGGACGGCTACGGGACATGCAGCAGCTGCAGCAGCAGGAGGAGGAGGAGTGGCAGCAGTAGCAGTGGCAGCAGTAGCAGTGGCAGCGACAACACCCACAGCTCCAGCTAGCTGCGACTCTAGCTACGACTCCAGCTACAGGCGGACAGCAGAAGAAAGATGGAGTCTCGGAGAGGGCATGGGCATGGGCATGGGCATGGGCTGGCTGGATGGATAGACAGCGACTGAGCGTGTGCTTTTGCCGCGAGAGGGTCGGCCATGTCCATGTCCTTGCTAGCCTTCAGACAGTCTGCCGCAATCTCCACCCAGGCGAAGACCACCATGCATGCCCAAAATGAGTTTCAGTCGGCCTTTCCTCTCATTTCCAGCGTGCAAGTAGAGCCGCCTCCACCGCCGACTCGTGCAGCGCCCGCGTTTGACAGATAGCAGGCCCGAGCACGAGCAGCGAGCCAGCACGCAGCCCACGCCGCCTGCACTGCAGTAGCCCACGACGACGCAATACGAGCACTCGGCCGCTACACTATGTCTATCTGTGTACATGGCGCCGCTGCAAGACGGGTAATGCGCCGTGCCTGTCTGTCTGGCTGTCTGGCTGTCTGGGTGCAGGAGCCGCCTAGGCCAGCCCGCCGCTCCCACACCAACTAACTCCCTCCCTCCTTTCACCCTCCCCCACTTCGCGCTACCTCCGCCGACGTATAAAATGCCATCACCACTGCACCACAGATCCAAACACCGGGCCTGGTGAAACGCGCCATGCACGCATCCGCCCTTACGGATGCAGGGCGCGCTTGCACCCAGCACAGCGCCCCGATGCTGATGCTGTCCACCCCCCCAAAACAACACATCCAGCAGCAGGCCACCAGGCTCGGCCCGCATGCGTGCTATCCATCACCACCATGTGGATGCACATGCAGCCCCGTAGCGACTATCCAGACGTTGCGGGCACAGCGTCATTCAACAACAAGCCCTCGCACTCACACTCGCGCCCGCTGCGTGGCGGCACTACGCTCGCCAGCGCCCTCGATTGGCGCCTTTTCCAAGGCCGTGTACGGTGTGAGACGAGGTGGAATGCCCCGTGCAAAATCAAGCCTCGCCCAACAAGCATACCCCTCTCGTCGCGGCTGCGGTCCATCTCCCGTCGCCATCGCACGCTACCGCTGCACCAGAAAAAAAACGTTCTGCCGACCACTGTCCTGGGACCACACCACATTGACTTTGCCATGGCAATTGCCTGTCCCGTACAAGCCCGACTGCGCACGCAAATTGCCTAATTACACCACCTTCATAACACCCACTTGCTCCTCGGCGGCTGGCCCAATGCCGCTGCACATATCTGAGACACCCGCCCTCCACCCCATGCCGACGATCGTCAAACAGTGACATTTTGCTTTCTTTGCTTCTTTGCGCGTCATAGCGCACAACCAGCCAACTGCCAGCCTGCTGCGTGCCACATGTAAGAAATTAGTACCTCTGGCCCGACAGAGAACACGGTACCTTGCAGTCTAACACCCCCCCCCCTTTTAAGCTTAGACGGCAATGCCACATGCAGCCGTGTCCATGTGTGAACCGGTTCATCAGAATACTACGACATAACGTGCAAGGATAGCGCCACGCCCATGCACCTGATACATACTTAGACAACGCCTCTACAGCGCCAGGGTGCAAGGTATTTGTATACTTGCTTACATACATACTTACCACACCAAGCCTCCACCTGCACACTGGCCAAACGCTAAAACATCGAGTATAGCATAGATGAACATTGCTTACATCGTGCCACCATGTAGTCAATACGTATGCAACAAACACATGTATGCCGAACACTGCTCATCCATTAGCCTTTCAAATCATGTCATGGCAGAAATGAAACATACACCCTTGTCACGGTAGTCTACTGCCTACTCAATCTCAATTACGATGCTGTCTGCTCAGCCCTACCCTTTGTCTTCCCGTATGCACCCCCGGCCAATTTCCGCATCTCCAGCGCTCTCTTGTACGGCGGCGCTGTAGGAGGCTGCACAGGGTCCAGACTGACTCTATCCTTGGGCAGATGGTAGGTAGCATCAGAGTCGTAAGCCGACAAGTCACCGCATGCCAGAAACGGCGCTATCCACCGATGACCTCCTTCTTCAACATCATCTTGGTTTTCGCTCTCGTCGCCAAGGTCAATCTCGATTGCCCCGTCGTCCCTGACTTTTCGCGAGACCCTGCTTTCTGGTCCAGGCGCATCGCACGGAGCGGGTGCTCCTGGTGTGGGCAGCTGCGTACCCGCGCCAAGCGGTTTGTCCAGACTGGCCGTGAACCCTTTGGGAGGACAGAAGCCCTCGCACACGACGAACGCTTCTATGCTGCTCGCCCGACTACTCCTCGGCTTGGCCACGCGCACCCGCTCAAATACAATCTTCAGCTGCGCAAACAGCAAATCGACGTCTTTGCCTCTGAAGATCTTGGCCACAAACTTGCCGCCGGGCTTGAGCACGCACAGGGCCAGGTTGAGCGCTGCCCACAGAAGCTGGCTCTGAACGTAAATGTCGAGGTCGTGGAGACCAGTGACGTCGGGCGCCCCGTCGGAAATCACAAGGTCCACAGGTGAGGAGCCGCTCGTAGCCTTGGGATCGTATGTATCAGGGTCGAGCGCCTTGAGCATAAGGGGTATCGTTGAAGGATGCGTAATATCTGCGCGCATCGTCGTCACACCTTCCAGCGGACTCATGGGCTGCAAATCAATCGCAACTATCCGTACTCCTTCTCTTGACTTTGGTTTCTCTTCCTTGACTCCACCATCCTGTTCCTTTTTCTCTACTTCCACACCATCTTCCTTCTTCTTGTCCGCACCCAAAACACAGTTCCGTGTCGAAGCCTGCTTCTCCTGCCACCCCGCCCGTCCAAATTTTTCTCCCTTAATGAGCACACGGGATAGCACTTGGCTCCAGCTTCCTGGTGCAGCACAGAGATCCACGACTCGGGTGACGCCTTCAAACAAATTGAATTCTTCGTCTAGTTGCAGTAACTTGTATGCAGATCGTGCCCGCCATCCCTCTTCTTTTGCCAGTCGGTAGTACGCATCTCGCTTGTCTTTTGATGACTTTCCCATGGCTCGCTCCGGAGGTGTGATTTACACCACTTATTCTTCCCCCGCCTTGGAGAATTTTCGAGCCAGTCTGTATGACTGGTGATACAGTTTTCTGAATTTACTCGTCTGCTGTCTTGATAACTTGGAGGCCTTGGATGCAAGACAAATGCCACCTGCAATATAATTACCAGACAAACACCCGGCGGTCTAGTCCGACTCTTTCTTCCTTTTTGTTTTCCTCTGCCTAGATATTGTCGCAATTTAGTCAATGCGAGAGTGAGTCGCACGTGAAGTGCGGGCTAGACAATCTGCAGGGCGAAGTGGGGCGGCGGACTCCCGAACGCCGACAGTTCTCCAAAAAAAAGTTTCCAGACCATCGCATGCTTCGACCCTCGCGTACAAACACTTCCAATCGCAATTCCGCGCCACAATGAAACGCGCCCATGCTGCCCCGAAGAAGGCGGCGCACAAGGCGCACAAACGCCAGAAGGTCGATGATTTTCCTAAACCTCTACCTACCAGGACAAAACGCAGAGTGCAGCTCAACGAGCTAGGATGGAAGGCTGTTTCCATGCCCGATCGCTTAGAGGACACCGAAGGCTTCTACGGACTCGAAGAAATCGACGATGTTGAAATTGTAAAGGATCCTGTTACTGGCGCCTTCCATTTCGAGACTACAAAGACGGAAGACGAAGTAGCGCGTGATGTCGAGGAGGCGTGGCAGCGCGAGGAAGACGAGGCTCGGCGTCTTGAAAAGATAACTTTCGGGGAGAACCAAGAGGCTGAGAAAGATGAGGACAAGGAGTTTGAAGAAGATGAGGGCAAAGAGCCTGAGGTACAGGGAGAAGATGAAGAGTTGGAATGGGAAGGCTTCAGCGACGAGGAAGTCGAGACCGAAGCGCCCACGCCTGCAACGAACGGAGAGTCTGAGACAAAGAAGGAGACCAAGAAGGAGAAAAAGAAGAGACTCAAGGAAGAGAAATTGAAAAAGCAGGAGGAGAAGAAGAAGACAAATGGGCAAACAGCCAAGCCAAATGGACATGACAAAGTGGACGACGACGAAGACGATGATCACGAAGATGACCAATTCGATGGAGAAGATGTTGATGACGGCGAGACGTTTGGCCCTGGCGCCTTCGATATACTTGCAAACCAACCAATGGACGACAGTGACGAAGAAGACGTATCTGCTTGGGCAAAGTTGGACCTGTCCGAGGAAATGCTCGGAGCATTGGCGAAGCTCAAGTTTTCAAAGCCCACCGACATTCAAGCATCAACTATACCCGAGATTATAGCTGGCAGAGACGTCATCGGAAAGGCTTCCACCGGTTCAGGAAAGACGCTTGCCTTTGGTATTCCCATTATAGAGTCATATCTCGCCGGTCGTGCAGCATCAAAAAACACCGAAGACAAGGTTCCGCTCGCCCTCATTATCGCGCCAACTCGAGAACTTGCCCATCAGATCAACGAACATCTGGTTAAGCTTTGTGCAAAGGGTGACTTTGACTCTCCGTACATTGCCTCCATCACGGGTGGTTTGTCCGTGCAGAAGCAGCGTAGGCAACTGGAAAAGGCAGATATAGTTGTGGGAACCCCAGGACGGCTGTGGGAAGTCATCAGCAGTGGCCAAGGCTTGCTCGCAAAGTTCAAGCAGATCAAGTTCTTGGTCGTCGACGAAGCTGATCGCCTGTTAAGCCAGGGCCACTTCAAGGAAATGGACGATATCCTCAAGGTACTCGAGCCAGATGATGAGGTAGATGAGAACGCCGAGCCAGCAGAAACACCCGAAGTCAACCGCCAGACACTTGTCTTCTCAGCAACTTTTGGAAAGGATCTTCAGAGAAAACTTGCCGGCAAGGCCAAATTCGGTGGTGACCAGATGAACCAACAACAGTCAATGGAGTATCTCTTGAAGAAGCTTCGATTCCGCGAAGAGAAGCCCATGTTCATCGACACCAACCCGACCTCGCAAATGGCCAGCAAGCTTCAGGAAGGTCTCATCGAATGTGCCGGTCCTGAAAAAGATCTATATCTATACTCACTTCTCATGTTTTACACCAAGAAGCGCGCCCTCGTCTTCACAAACTCCATCTCAGCCGTCCGACGCATAACGCCCTTCCTAACTAACCTCAACCTCCCCGCTCTCCCACTTCATTCCAACATGCCGCAAAAAGCCCGTCTACGCTCAATCGAACGCTTCAAAGAACGACCAGGATCAATCCTAGTCGCCACGGACGTCGCAGCCCGAGGTCTCGACATCCCTAAAGTCGAACTCGTAATTCACTACCACCTCCCCCGCGCCGCCGACACCTACGTGCACCGCTCCGGCCGCACAGCCCGCGCCGATGCCTCAGGCGCCAGTATCCTCATCTGCGCACCCGAAGAAGTCGCCGGTGTCCGTCGTCTCATCGCCAAAGTGCACGCCCGCGCGGCCTCGGCGCCCAAGACCAAAAACACATCCTTCTTCATCCGCACCCTCGACATCGACCGCCGCATCGTGTCGCGCCTCAAACCCCGCGCCACAATCTCCAAGCGCCTCGCCGATACCGTCATCGCCAAGGAGAAGAAAAACAGCGGCGATGACGTCCTCCGCCAGGCCGCTGAGGACCTTGGCGTCGATTACGACAGTGAGGAGTTCGACAAGGAAGCAAAAGGGAAACGGGGCCGTGGTGCCGGTCGCAAGAAGAAGGAGAGAGAGGCGAGTCAGATGACGAAGGCAGAGATGCAGGCGCTGCGTGCTGAGTTGAGGAGTTTGCTCAGCCAGAGGATTAATACGGGGGTTAGTGCGAGGTATCTTACCAGTGGTGGTATTGATGTTGATGCGCTTATGGCGGGAGAGGGCAACTTGGAGTTTTTGGGGCGTGTGGATGGGTTGGGGTTTGATGAGGATGAGGATGAGGAATAGCAGGTTCGGGGGATACCCGTTTATGTGTATCAAGTAAGGGATATATCATTTTCCATCTACTTGGAGTGCGATGTGTGGCTTAGGATTCAAGAGAATTATGAACTAGGTTCAAGAAGAATATGGAGATATCTTGTTTTTTTTTCTCAACAAGGCAAAACAAAAAAATTACATATTGATTAATGTGCAGCAGTGATTTAACTGCATGCTCTTCAACCACCTAATGCTGATGAATGACTATAAGTCCCGACTTACCATGCTTCTACGATAACACGAGATACTTGTCCCTCTACAGATTATACAGACGAACAAAAGAGTGGAATATCACAATGAAGAATCAAGTCATGGGGACAACAGAACCCACGCACCTGTGACAATGCACAACAGACTGCATGCTTTTGCATCCAGTATAAAGGGTCCGGCAGTCGCTCAACTGATCCCTTGAATGAACGGTTAGAAGCATATCAAGTTTGCATCTGGAGTAGAGAGAGAGAGAAAGAAGAAGAAGCGTACAAGTAATTCGAGAAGATTGACAAGCTCAAGTAAGGGCTCCACTGGGAGGGAGGACCATCAGTAAAACGTCGCTAAACCTGTTATACAGCCCTAAACTACCCCCCAAGTCGCGGTAGTTTTTGGTGTTTCGTTTCCCTTCTCTTTTCGTATCTCTGCCCCAAGAAAAAACAAGAACCAATAAAAAATACTGTGGTAAGCTGCACCAGTTTTTTGGGAATCTCAAGTCGACACACCTTAACGCCGAAGACACAAGGGGAGACAACGTTTTTCCTTTTACCAGCCTCCTCTTCTGCCGCCGCGACGACCTCCTCGTCCGCCACGGTAGCCGCCGCCTCCGCCGCCTCCGCCGTAACCACCGCCACCACCTCCGCCCCATCCGCCTCCACTGCCTCGATCCATGTCCCCGCCCGAAGGAGCATACGAGTTGCGAGGCGGCGCACGGTCCTTGAGTTCCTTGGACAGCGCCTCGTACGACTTGCGCATCTGGGCGTAGCCGAGATGCATCTTTCCGTAGAAATGGTCTGCTAACCGACGATCGTTATCCAGACGGCTGAGGTACGCACCGCATACATCGCACACTTGGAGTTTCTGATGCCCGGAAGGACCGCCCGTGTCGGAAAGGGCCCGTAGTTCGCGTTCGCGCTCCTCCTTCTCAGCCTTCTTGTAGCGGACTTTTGTGAACTCTTGGACAGCCATATTGACCATGCCTTCCTCGCCCATTATCTTGATTTCCAGCATGCCGGCTTCGATGGACTTTGTGAGTTCGTTGATTGCTTTGAGCTGCGCAGGTTGTTAGCGTATATCCTCAAAACTCCTCGACGGGCCAGGTTAGGCTACTGACAAGAGCGTTGGTCTGCCGGATCTCTTCAGGCGTCTTTTCTAGGCGGCGCTGTGCCGAATCTATCTTGCGATTACAGGCGTCAATGTGATGCTGCATGTCGCGCATGTAGTCAAACTCGAAGCCCCACCTGCGCTTCTGGTCTGCGTCGGCCTCCTGGTACTCAGTCTTGAGTGCCTCATTGTGGACTTTGGGACAAGGCCCCAGTTCGTTCTTGGTGTTGGTGAAGAGATCGTGCGGGCAGTTGCCGACTAGATACGAGCGGCAGACCTTTGGGTCGGTGATGCTGAGCTGGGGCGCGCGCTGGTCGGTTCCGTTCATGAGCTGTTCGCCCATGAGCTGCTCTACATTGTGTGTCAGGGTTGATATTTTCTCAGGGTCGATTGGGTTTGCATACCGAGCAGCCTACGCGTCTCTGCTGCAGCCATAATGTAATCTATCTAGTATTAGTCGCTATTATCGTGATGTGGAGGAGAGCTTGAGGTGAGGTGACGGTCAAAAGAAATCGCGACGCTGCGACCGCGGCAATGCCAAGTACGGTTGGTCTACATGGACTGCGCCTGACCAATCACATGTGGGGCGCCCTTCATCACCACCACCCTCACCACCCTCACCATCCTATCCGCGTAGAGAGCGCTACCATGCTGCCATGCTCTCGTCTTTCACCCTCCTGTTGCTCAATGCCTTGATTGCACTTGTATCGGCAGGCTCCGACTACAGTGAGCGTCTCCTCCTTCGGCCCCTTCCGCAGAACACCCTTCTGGCCTCTTTCAACTTCCGCAGCAACGAAAGCGCGGCTGCCTTTGAAGCACAAAACTTTCGCTACTTCCCGCGCTCTTTTGGTCAGATTCTGCAACATGCGCATGCCAAGGAATTGCACCTGAGATTCAGCGTTGGAAGATGGGATGCCGACAACTGGGGACAGCGGCCATGGAACGGGGCGCGAGAAGGAGGCACGGGCGTCGAGCTGTGGGCGTGGGTCGAGGCCGCGACTGAGGAGGAGTATGTCCCGTGTATACGTAGCACTCACCAAATGCTGACCGTGTCTCCAGAGCATTTGCCCGATGGCTGAAACTCACCAATGCCTTGTCTGGCCTCTTCTGCGCCTCGATAAACTTCATCGATGCCACCAAAACCATACGCCCCGTCATGTCCTTTGACCCAGAAGGTCAGCATGGCAATTCATCCAACCTTCACCTGCTCCATGGCACCCTGCCTCACGAAGTCGTCTGCACTGAGAACTTGACCCCCTTTTTGAAACTGCTGCCCTGCAAGGGAAAGGCCGGTGTGTCGAGCCTTCTTGATGGGCACAAGCTGTTTGATGCTGCATTCCAGACCATGGCTGTAGATGTCCGCCCCACGTGTAGCGAGGGCAGCTCCACTTGCTTTATAGAGATGGAGCAGAGTGTGGACATGGTCCTGGACATTGCGAGAGCGAAGCGCCCGAGAGATAATCCGATCCCGCGGCCTCTTCCTATTGAGCAAATGGAATGCGACACGTCCAAGCCCTACAATGCGCATGATACTTGCTATCCCCTTAACAAGGGCACTGAGCTTCCCTGGACCCTTGAGGAAGTTTTCGGAAGACCGCTCCGGGGAGCTTGTCCGTTGATAGACGAGAGCATAGACGAGGCCCACAATGTTTGTATCAACATGCCACCGGAACGTATCATGGAAGTAAAGACAGAGGGCCAGTTTACAGAGAGAAAATTGGCATCAGATACTCTCCGCTGCTTCAAGCTTCCGACAGGCCAGAATTTCGACCTTGCCCTCCCTGAGCAGAAGATGAAGACAGGCTTGGTTCGCCCAGACCCTCTCGTTTTTGCTGCAAGATCCATCAACGGCCATGGTCAGGAGCGAGGTAGTATCCAGGCAGTCATCCGCAACCCATCCAAACAACAAGCAGTCGAGGTCGTTTACCTCGAGTCTCTGCCCTGGTTCATGAAGCCGTATCTGCACACACTACGCGCTCATGTCGACACCACGGATCAAACTCCCATCAAAGAGACATACTACCGACCGGCAGTCGACCGCAAACGAGGCACTCACCTCGAGCTACGTATGGTCATCCCACCTGACTCTACGCTCACCTTGACATACGACTTTGAAAAGGCCATCTTACGGTACACAGAGTACCCGCCAGATGCGAACCGAGGTTTTGACGTCGCCCCTGCCGTCATCCGCGTTCTGTCGCCATCGTCCGGCGACAACAAGGGCATCTACGTCCGCACAACCTCGTTGCTTCTTCCTCTGCCAACACCCGATTTCAGTATGCCGTACAACGTCATCATCCTCACCAGCACAGTCATGGCATTGGGCTTTGGAAACATTTTCAATCTGCTCGTCAGACGCTTTGTGGGCGTTGATGAGGTGCCAGCCACGGGGGTGGGTGGCATAAAAGGCATCATTCAGGGCAAGATACTCAGACTAAAGGGTCTGCTAGGTGTAAAATAAACAATCTGCGGATAGATATTGTAGAAAGAATATGTAAAGATTTGTGTCTCTCTTTTTAATATCTCGAAATGATGAACAAATATGTGATGGTATTGTATGCTTATGTATTTACAATGTTCTAAAATAGCTGCGAATTGGGTATCCCTTTTACTACTTTCCCTTGACCATTTGAAAAAAAAAAGAAGTAACACCTGTTCCCAGCACTCCCTCATATCATAACGACAACCATGTCGTAAGGGGACTGACGAATCCAACCCAATCCTTTGCCTTTCCAGATTTCCCGGCATAAACCCTACGCCCCGTAGCCCCGAAAGTTCTCACACGGGAGATAATTATTCTCAATGAAGGCCGACGCAAATCTGATGCCATAAACGCCATCCCACACCTGCTCCGTCTTGAAGGGCTCCATCTTCGCACGAACAGACCCTTTGACATTTTCGATCCGATTCGGCGCGGTACTCAAGCTCGTGTCGAACAGACGAATCATATTATCGCAGGATTTGCCATTCGCGAAAATGATTTGGTTCGTGACGTTGACGAAGAAGTCTAGCGGGTACGGTGCCTCGGTGGTGCTGTGGAATTGCGTGTCTGCACACGCGGCCCCGAACTCGACGCTGCGGCCGCTGTAGGCCGTGGTGCCGGGATTGGCGGCGTCGGGCACGGCACGGTAGGAGTTGCATGTGGGGTCAAAAGTGGAAGGGTAGGTAGTGGTGCCGTAAGCCTGTGCTCCTTGGATGGCGGCGGCGTTGTCGGCAGACATTAAGAGCGAGGGGACCCATTTGAAGGATGTGGAGTTGTCGCCTAGGAGGTCTAGGAATGGGAATTCAATTCCTGCGCGCTGGTTGGGGAGGTTAGAGGTGACAGTCAGGTGAGCAATAGTATAGTAATTAAGCTTACAGAAAAGTCTGAGATTTTGAAGCCTCCGAATTGGATGTCGTGGTCGTGCACAGCTTGGACGACGGCGGGGTACATGTCTTTTGGGAATGTGGGGAGGAGGTGGCGGTATGCATGTTCCAAGATGCGGTATTGTGAGGGAATCAGTTGGCGTGCGAGATCCAGTGGGATAGGTACGATTGAAACTGTGCCGTTGAGGACTCCAGTAGCGTTGTTTGGATATGTCGTTGCAATTGGGTTTGGCGAGTCTTCTGATTGGCATGTAATTGCGGCTACTGAATCGAGGGTAGTGTTTAGTGGTGTGCTTGCGCTACTTGCATAGCGAATAGCGAGTAAAGACAGAAAACTGAGCAGAAAGTACTGCCACCACGATTGCTGCGTCTGCATCTTGGACCGTTGGATTGTGAGGACTGCAAGTACAGGGTGGCACAAAAGTGCGAGATCCAAACAGGTATTTATCATCGTTGCGTGACCGAAAGTTTGTGAAAGGACCGACTATAGCGTTGACCATGTGAGAAAGGAAAAGATGGGCTGATTCGTATCCGGGGGAAAAAAGGTCATTCACGTATACTACTACCGGAGGGAAAGAGAAAAAACGTGATAGTCAGAGCCCTAAAGAAGGATTGTCATCGTTCGGCAACGCATGAATCCGCGCCACTAAAAGTGCCTCAAGATGCGCTGGACTGGAAACGTTGACAACCGCAAGCCTACGGGAACACTGACGCCGATGGAGTCGGTACCCTACCGCAAATCACAGGCGTGTCCGCGAGGGTGCTTGGGGCAGTCTTTCGCGACAAAGTCGTGTTAGTGCCATGGAAGCTCGAGTATCCGAAACGCAGATCGATTAGGCTGACGAGGTCACCGACTGTTTTAGCCCCGGTGCTCGCCCTTCCCGCATGCAAAGTGTTAGCCTTTTGTCTAAGAAGCCCAGCCTTGGTGGACGTTAATTGCGATCCGCCAAATGCGTCATGAGGGCGTGTATTGTTGCCCTCGGACGGATGCTCGGTGCAAAGCGCGTGTCAAGGAGTCTTCTTTCGGGTTTCATGACCTTCGAGATGGATGTGGGGCTAATGGTGCGTGCGTTGTTAGGCTGGCATCAGGCAGGGGTCAAAGGCTGACTTCCTATCATAAGCGGAGTCGACTTTTTTTGCTACAATAATCCCTCCGCGGGTCTGCTCATAATTCTGTGTCCATGTGTTATGAAAAACAGGGTTCAGTTCAACAATTGGAGGCATTGGTATTGTGCAAGTATTGTTCTTCTGGCGCAAAGGAAACATAGTTGTTGAGGCGCAACGTTGAGACTGACAGGTGTTGAACAATGATCCTAATACTGCATAGTGTAAGAAAGTTCAAACGGATGGCATCCCCGTTGTTTTCATGGGGCGGGCTTGCCGTCCCCGCATTGCTTGAATTTGTCATCTTTGGTCGCATTGGCAATGTATAAATGCGCTGAGCGCATCCAAGACGAAGAGAATCCCATGCCAATAGTCTGATAAAAAATGCCGAACGTGAATTCTGTCTATCGCAGGGAACAAAGAATACCCAGTCTACCCATCCTGGTCATGACTAGCCCTTGGAGCATTTCGAACATTGCTAGTCTGATCCCGCAGGAACTTCTCCACCGTCTCATTGTCCATATCGTCGATCCTTGCTTCCATGGATTGATCTGACGGCTGTGGGGAACGACTCCTGTTCGATGCCTCAGAATCAGAGGTTGAAGAAGACGAGTATTTAAAACCCAATGCCGCATATACTGCGACCACTGAGTTCGTTAAGCTTGATATCGCAGTGGATGCTTGGCCAATATAGCCTTGGCCATTTCTGTCGTCATGCTCAGAATCCGCTGTTGAAGATCCCGTAGTCACAAGCTCCGGTCGCTCTGGTTTGGCCACGTTGGGTTCCGTCGTTGCTGGTGGGAACTGCGAAGTTGTTCCTTCAGTTTCCTCGACAGGGGAGGCCTTGTTATGCCCATCATGATTTATACTGTTTTCTCCTGACTGACTGGTCACCGTCTCAGGCGCAGCTGCCACATTCCCATTATTCTTCTCCTGCTCCAATGTAGCCTCCAACTCCTTTCCATACAATAGTCTGAAAATCACAACTAGCAACGTTTCTTCCGTCTTACGGTTTCTCAAAACATATCTCAGGTGATGCGTCTTCTCATCCACGTACCGTGCGACACTAATGGAGAAGCCTGGTAACCTCAAGGCGAAATTTGCAAAATCCAAGTGTGGATTGAAAAAGTCTGCGTGGTACATTCTGTCCTTCTCGAACGTGAATTCTGCGAGCGCCTTTGTATCGAGAAAGAACTTCCGCCTCTTCTTCCATTTAGGAGGCATGTTTAGTGTCTTTCGTATCTCAGCACCACTTCCATAAGCACCCTCTTCAATGATATTGGCTGAGTCTTGCTCGAGCTGGGAGAGTTGGTCAGACGGAGACATGACGCTCGTCTTTTCGCCGATCTGGAAAGCAAAGAAACTTGATAGCGCTGGACCGTACAGGTACGGTTGGTCAGAGTAGGGATCAGAATACAGGCCTGGGTCGAGCAAGCTAGTTGCAATTTTCATCGCGTACTTGAAACCTGGAGGCAATTGATGTCTGATTGAATGGTCGTAGTCAAATCCCATGACCAAGTCGGAGCCAGGCATGTCTTGTTTGGGAATGAAAGAGTAGGCGATGGAATAACGATCCGAGGTATGCTGTGGGTGGTCGAAGTATGACGATGAAGCTGGCGAACCGTGAGGTAAGCCATGATAGTCCTTTATACGAACGCGTATCCAAGCGGATAGGAGGTCGCTTTCGATGTATGTTGGATCTGCACCGTTTATTGCTACTTGTTCATGGTCCGAAGGGTTGTAAGATGGGCCCGCAGTTACTGAGTACTGTTAGGCACCTTGAGGCGATGAGTTGTTTTTTGTATGGGTGTACCTTGAAGGAGATATTTGTCTCTTGCCGCAGGGTCCACAACTTTGTCAGACATGTTGCCAAGGTGCTTTTAGTCTATATATCCAATGACACGTTAGCAGAATGCTTAAAAAGGAATGTTACGGAAGCGAGCCAAGACAGCATTTATGTATCCCAAGGCAGATAATGGAATACATCTTTTGGGCTATGCTATATACAGAAAGGAGTGCTGTCGCACTTGATTTCAAGTAAGTTGAGTGTCAGAAGTGTCAGAGCCGGGTTTGGCAACGACGCGTGAGTCTATGACGTAGTGACAGGGCATGGTCCAATCAGGGCGTAGGATTCGACCGCTTACTGTGTTACTGGTCGTCGCTCGTGGGGAATCTGGTAGTAGTACGCACTGTAGACGCGTAGATTCAGCATGTGATAGTTAGCAAACAACATGCTGTGACAGCAGTGATACATTGTAATTGAAATAGAGTTAATGACATAAGCAGGGAAGATGCCGCATTCGGCACTTCAGCGTGACAAGATTGCGCCGTACAGCGAAATAAGGTTGATGTTCTCTACCAGCATCGCGTGGACATGTAACACGAAAGAGGCTATTGTATCGTGAATTTGAGGCTGTGAAGTCCGTGGACTAGTCGAGATACTTCCAGAATGGTGGTCTCCATTTGTGGGTGGCCAAGCCATAGTAGTTGACAAGTATACCATATTCACAAACTTCTTTAGTGCACAATCTTGGAAACGGTAGTGGCGCGCGACAACTTGAATTGCATGGCGCATGTTAACACGTTGAAGCAATCAAAAAAGGAATTTATCAATGGTACGATATCATGACCGGGTGCCAAAGCGTCCGTAAGGAATGGCGTGCGCCTGCTATAGGCAGCAGCAGTCAAAATGACTAAACAATGCGCATAGGTGGCAATTGGGCGTTAACATTAGGGAAACGTTGCAATTAGGTAGAGAAGAGCATGGAGCCTTCAATGTGGTGACTGTTTATTGGCAGATGGTCCAGTGTCAATTTCGGCTTAGCTGTTTTGGAAACACCCCCACATTTAGAGTAAAAGGACACCTGGAGCTGGCCGCCACAGAAAGCCTGGGTAATCCCCGATGAACAAGCCGGAAATTTCGACATGTTTGTAATGTATGAGTCGATATTAGGCATCCGCAATCTGGTCCACCGCTTCATCAGAGGAAAAAGTATGTCGAGAATGGCCAAAGGACTGGAGTGCATTCGCTTAGATGGAGGGGTATCGGCCACTAGATAACGACCGGCGGTAGGGCCACTGCAGCAGTTAGTTGCCCATTCCAATGCGCTTCAAGTTGCTCGTGGGCGCACAACCACACATAGACTGCGATATTACAATTCCAACAAGGCTACACAGAAAGCCGTTGTCGCTAAATTACACGTGTCATGTAACAGATTGCATTAAACACGGATGAAATTGAGGCTGTAGCGGGCGACTGGGGCAAAAGCGCCATGGTCCAGTGTATGCGCTAGTCCACTTTTGGAGCTAGTATTTCGAGATCGCAAGGTGTTCTTTCTAAATACTTCCACGACTGGGCGTGCATATAACAGCAGCCCTCCACCGCTCTTCTCCTTCTCCCTCCACTCACCTTAGGATCAATTCCACCTTGCCTTTGGTTTCCTTTCTTTACGATACCCGGAGAGCTTTGTCTACTCCACCACATCGCGAACTCGAAGAGAGTTACGCCCGCACTTGCTTCTGGCACTCAAGGCCACATACTTAGTCTCCGAGAGACCTTACTCCACACACATCCACAATGGCGCGCAGCTCACGGAATGCGAGCAGGCGCTCGACATGGTCCATTGCCTTCTACCTTCTCCTCGTCCTCGTCGGCGGTCTGATGCTGGCTAAGACAGCACACGCCAAGGACAATGATTCCGCAAAGGATGACGGCAACGCCGTCTCCGGCCCCGTCATTGGTATCGATCTGGGAACCACGTACTCTTGCGTTGGTGTCATGAAGAACGGTCAAGTTGAAATCATCGCCAACGACCAGGGTAAGCCCCACCACCACCAGTTGCTCGTAGACGCCCCCAACTAACCAATTCCCTCTACAGGTAACCGTATCACTCCTTCTTGGGTCGCCTTCACAGATGAGGAGCGCCTCGTCGGAGACGCTGCTAAGAACCAGTTTGCCTCCAACCCCCACCGAACCATTTTCGATATCGTACGCATTCCCCATACCCCGCTATTCGAAACACATTATACTAATTGGAGAGTAGAAACGTCTCATTGGTCAAAAGTTCAACGACAAGTCTGTCCAGAGCGACATCAAGCACTTCCCCTTCAAGGTTCTTAACAAGAGTGGCCAACCTCGCGTTAGTGTTGAGGTTCACGGCGAGGAGAAGACCTTCACCCCCGAGGAGGTCTCCGCTATGGTTCTTGGTAAGATGAAGGAGGTTGCTGAGAGCTACCTCGGTGAGCCCGTTAAGAACGCCGTTGTCACTGTCCCCGCCTACTTCAACGACGCTCAGCGTGCCGCCACCAAGGACGCTGGTACTATCGCCGGTCTCAACGTTCTCCGTGTGGTCAACGAGCCCACCGCCGCCGCTCTCGCATACGGTCTTGACAAGGTAAGATGCTATAGTAATATGTTACTCCAAGGACCAAGCTAACTCGCTTTCACAGACCGACCAAGGTGAACGCCAGGTTCTCGTCTACGATCTTGGTGGTGGTACTTTCGATGTCTCCATCCTCACCATTGAGGAGGGTGTTTTCGAGGTCCAGGCTACTGCCGGTGATACTCATCTCGGTGGTGAAGATTTCGATAACCGTGTCATCAACTACTTCGCCAAGAAGTACAACAAGGAGAACAATGTCGACATCACCAAGGACGCTAAGACCATGGGTAAGCTCAAGCGTGAGGTTGAGAAGGCCAAGCGCACTCTTTCTTCCCAGAAGTCCACCAAGATCGAAATCGAGTCCTTCTTCAAGGGCAAGGACTTCTCTGAGACTCTTACCCGCGCCAAGTTCGAGGAGCTCAACAACGACCTTTTCAAGAAGACTCTCAAGCCTGTTGAGCAGGTTCTCAAGGACGCCAAGATGAAGAAGAGCGACATCGATGACATTGTCCTCGTCGGTGGTTCTACCCGTATCCCCAAGGTTCAGGCCATGCTTGAGGAGTTCTTCGGAAAGAAGGCTCGCAAGGATGTCAACCCCGATGAGGCTGTCGCTTACGGTGCCGCCGTCCAGGGTGGTGTTCTCTCCGGTGAGGACCGCACCAGCGGTGTCATTCTCATGGATGTCAACCCTCTTACCCTCGGTATCGAGACCACTGGTGGTGTCATGACCACTTTGATCAAGCGTGGTACCACCATCCCCACCAAGAAGAGCCAGATCTTCTCCACGGCCGCCGACAACCAGCCCGTCGTCTTGATCCAGGTATTCGAAGGCGAGCGCAGTATGACAAAGGACAACAACCAGCTCGGAAAGTTCGAGCTTACCAACATTCCGTAAGTTTTCAATGCAGATTCAGCTTAGTGGAGCGTCAACTAATAATTCACAGTCCCGCGCCCCGTGGTGTTCCCCAGATTGAGGTCACTTTCGAGCTCGACTCCAACGGTATCCTCAAGGTCGGCGCTGTTGACAAGGGCACTGGCAAGGGTGAGAGCATCACCATCACCAACGACAAGGGCCGTCTCAGCAAGGAGGAGATTGACCGCATGGTTGAGGAGGCCGAGAAGTATGCCGAGGAGGACAAGGCTACCCGCGAGCGCATCGAGGCCCGCAACAAGCTCGAGAACTACGCCTACAGCCTCAAGAACCAGGTCAACGACGAGGAGGGTCTTGGTGGCAAGATTGAGGACGACGACAAGGAGTCTCTCCTCGAGGCCGTCAAGGAGACCCAGGACTGGCTCGAGAGCAACGCTGGTGAGGCTGCTGCTGAGGACTTCGACGAGCAGTTCCAGAAGCTTTCCGACGTCGCCTACCCCATCACCTCCAAGCTCTACGGTTCTTCCGGTGGCGCTGGTGACGATGATGTCCCCAACGAACACGATGAGTTGTAGAGGGCCAAATCTGGCGTTGAAGGTTGCATCTTATATCCCGAGTTTCGTCACATGCGAACTAGACAGATGTAGTTTGTGAGCAAATGTATGAGTACAGAAAGGGCATTTCGCATCTGAGATTGTTTGGACACAGCTCATGGTACATGTGGAGTTTGCTTAAACTATAGGAGTGTTTTTTTTGGAATGAAGCATTTATGAGCATAATCTTGCCACTAGTTGATATGTTATGGTGACGCATGCTGAAGTTTGTCCTTTACCGTGATGTCGACCCTCCTTGCCAAGGATCTTGTCCGTATGTGTCACGATATTCTGAACCAAAGACCAACCGCAGCATGTCCGCCTGTCCACATGTCCGCCTGTCCACTACTTTAGCTAGCTTGGCCAGATCAATATGTATAAAGGCAGTTTGTACAGCAGAATCAGTGGGCATACGATGGGTAGCTAGTGCAGCCGGATCACTAGGCATATGGGCAGCCGGATCAGCCAGATCGATGGGTGTCTGGTGCACCTGGAGTAGTCATAATTCTTCTGCTGCTCACTATAGTGGTAAGAGTGGTTATTCTCGTAGTTGTTTATTCTAATTTCATGATATATCGACTCTACTTTAATGACTTTGAATCCAGACATTCTGTGGGTATGTAAGTAATCGTCACCAGTCTTATGTGGGTGACCGTCCAGGTTGGGCCGTCCATTGGTACTACGCATGTTGAGCGATGCAAGCCACGCATCATGCGAAGAGGATTAAAGAAGGATGCAGGATACAAAACGAAAAAAGTCTTGCCTACACACTGCGATGTTCCGTCATACAATGCTTCGCCTTGTTTCCACTAATTACTATAGGGGGATGCATCGACATAATGCCGTGGTTATTTGCTCCACCCTTATCACGTGTTCCCTTAACACTACTATTATAATTGTTGTTATCAACAATTATGTACACACACAGACGCAGCTTACACCTTACACTCGCAGCCTCGGGCTTCGGCGCCATCCAGTTAGCGGTTGCGCGCGGCCGAAACCTGTCGCCTTCCGTCATTTCGTACATTCCAAACTTGTTCTGTCTGTGCACACACACACACACACACACACACACACACACACACACACACAAAATACCTAGTAGAGCCAGGTTGCGAGCCTCCCCCCCTCTGCCTCCCCTTACCCCAAGTTCCCTAAATCGGTCGTCGTCATCACCTTTTCTTTATTGACTGGAATCCACAAACTGCCTCTGCTTTCGCTCTAATGTCCGAACTTGACGTCCCCACAAATTTCTGGTTTATTGGCTAGGCATGGCTATGCTTGGTGTGCCTGCCGCAACGGGGGATTAGATACGGTTTACGCGTAATGCACTCTTTCTTTCTCTCTCTGGCGCGCGCTGGTTTCCTCTGGTTTCCTTTTGGTTACGTTGCAGCTTCGTCAGCCCGACCGTTGTTCATAATTTTTTTTGTTCAACGGCTATAGGCCACCCCCCTTGTCGGTCCGTCATCGTATACGTTGCGATGAAACAACGGTACGAGGGGATAACGCGATCGCTTAGCTGAGCGAACGACTTATTACGGGGTACCCCTACCTTTATCTTTTTGTTCATTATGGTCTGTGGGCCGAAATGGAGGAGTTGGCTTGTTGGGATCTCGGGATCGCAACGAGTCCTCCATCGGGACGATTGCCTGCTCCGTGGGTAAATTAAGACGAGGCGGCTATCGACAAGGGATTCGCGTCGCTAAGTTGGGGACGGCAGTGCAATGCCTCAGGCGCTTAGCCGAAACAATTGGCGGCCCTGATCATCAATCGCATCACACAGGAAAAGATAGGCAAGTTGGATCTTTTTTTGGAACTTTTATAGGATTTGCAAGACTAACAATAAACATTTACTAAATAGACATCTACTACTGAGAGCCTGAACGGGAAGCGTAAATGGACAGGCTAACCAGTACCCAAAAAGTGCGAATGGGGTATCTCGCCAAACAACTGTGTCTAAAAGATTGCTTGTGTGACGAGTCGTGTCCAAATAGCATGGAACAAGGGGGAATATGGCGAAGAGGAATATGCAAACCAACATGAAGAGATGACAAACGCCGAAAAGATCGGGTTGGCACCGCTTATGAAAGGACAACCTTGATGACTTCGCCGTTCTGGCCCATGGAGCAACCACCACCGGTACCGGCCATGATTGGGTCGTAGCCGCCGCCACCACCGTTGCCAGAGTCGCAGTTGAAGAGGTCGTAGTCGGTACCCTTCTCGCAAGTGTTCATGCCGTTCTTGCACTTGAAGACGCAAGTGTTCATGTCTGATGTGCACTTGGAGCCCTTGGCAGAGATGTTGCTACCGTTCATGTTGATGTTGCGGGAAACATCGAAAGCACCAGTTGGGCCGAAGGTGACCTCGAACCAAGTGTTGTCAACACCACCGAACATGGCCAGCTTAGTGTCAGGGAAGACTGGTGCGCAAGCGGCGGAAGCGTTCTCCTCGAAGGAGATATCGACGGACTCGCCAGACTTGAGGCCAACGGAGATCTCAGGCTGCATCTCGTTGATGCACATGTTCTTGAAGTCGTTGGACCTCCAGCAGAAGAGGATAGCATCCTTGTTGTTGTCGTTGGTGAACTGGGTCCTCCACTTGCTGTCCTTACCGAGCCAGATACCGTTCTGGTTGCTCTTGGGGTTCTTTCCGGTCTTTGCGCCAATGCTGGTGATCATAGACTGGAGTCCGTTCAAGACGTCACCGACAATGTCGTTGATGGAGTCGCCTACGTTGTCGAGGAGATCACCGATAGGATCCTTCTTGTCGTCGGCGGGAGCCGAGGAGGGAGAAGGAGTAGGGGTGGAGGTAGGAGTTGGAGTGGGAGTAGGAGAAGGCTTCTTCTCCTCAGCGGGAGCGGAGGACGAGGGGTAGGTAGGGGCTGCTGCAGCCTCGACTTGCTTGGCCTCAGCAACAGGCTCTGCTGGCTTGGGAGAAGGAGTTGCGAAGACCTTGTCCCAGTCGACGTCGCCCAGTTGGTAGGCGACCTTGCTCCAGTCGACGTTGCTGGTATCAACGGAACGCTTGGCCTCACTGCTGACAGTTAGTGACGGCTGGTATGTGAGTCTTGCCGGCATTACTCACGCTTGACGGCGAGCATGGAAGCTGGCGTGACGGTTGTGGAGGTTGGCGGCGGTAGCTTGGCCAACAACAATGGTGCTCAACACCAGGGCGGAAGAGTAACGCATTTTGCAAGAGGTTTGTGAGTAATGATGCGACAGGCGAGTATGGATAGAGCAGACAAGTCGTAACGGCGTTCAACGGCGTGTCGATGGAGCGATAAAGGATTGTTGTAAGATTAGCAAAGGAATGACTGAGCGTGCAAGCAAGGGAGCAAGCAGGCAAGACCAAGACGGGCGTGAATGAGTGAACGCGCGAATGTGGCTAATATGAGAAGAGGGACCGTGGGTATGTTATATGTTGCGGTGAAGAGGAGGAAAAGGGACGCAAGCGGCCAGACGCAGCGCCAGCCGGACTGCTCCATCTCATCTCCTGGCTGACCTTGACAGGTTAGCGTGCCGCCAACCATCCCCGTCGCTAATTTGCATGGGGCCAATTGCACCGGACATGCGACCCCTGACAACGCGGCCCCATCGCTTCGTACCTCGATATCATTGGTGTGCCTGGCTCAGGCACAGTTGGCCCGCCCTGGCTCGACACCTGGGCCGGCTACTGCTGAATCGCGAATTGAAGCATCCCCCTTCTTCCCCCCCCCCCATTTATTCTACTTACCCTTGGCCGCACCCAAGCAGCCGCGTGGTATAGCAACCGAGCTGGTCTTGTCGCCACGGACAACAAAGTCTCGACGTCTCGACAACAACAAAGACAACAAGGCGCACTGCCACAGGTGCCACTTTATCGGCTCTCCGACGATGGCAAGGCCGCGCAATTACGATCATCACAGGGTGGGACCAGCATGCTGTGATTGGAAAAGGCGTGTGCGTGTTGTCTTGTCGCCGCGAACCAAAGTGGAGAAAACGACCTTGCGGATTCCAGAACCTCTTCCGCCGGCCGCGTTGCCATCACACTACGCCATGTGTTTTTTGCCTCATCCAGTCTAGCCTCACCAGCGTCGTCATGTACTTACTACCGTTTCTTATCACTGTCACTACCGTGGACCAGATGCTTCTTGGTACACGCTCTCGACCGCGTCAACACACTATGGTCCGACAGCCCCGTCCTGCCCCGGCCATTCCTTGGCCGGGTAAAAAACGCCTCTGTCAACCTGCGTAATAGTCGTGCAGCTTAGTGACGCAGCAGTTTGCACTCGCTCTTCTTCTATTTGTCCTTTACACGGCTGCAATTCAGCCCATCTGTACCCACGCATCCGCTGCTCCACTCACAGGCAAGTGGCCGATGCAATGTTTGTGGAGCCCCAGTGTGGTCAGCGGAATGATAGAGTCTTTATCGCAATGTGGGGGCTAGCCAGCATATGTATGCACGATGAAAAACTCAAAGGCTACTGTCCACCGGCCGGCATCGTAACAGCGCAGCAGTGGATGCGACGTGGTGGATTTCTGTTCGTTGTTTGCTAGTCCTCAGCCGTCACCTTGCCTCGAACGCATATGGAACTAGAAGCTACAACATGTGCGGGTGCGTCTCATACCCCCGAATGGCGCAGCTTGTCCGCCTTTGACAATGACACTGAGGTTTTTGTTTCGTTTTCATCTACTTATCACTTGCAGAGGTCGTGCATTGACACACTGCGCTATGAGTATACCACAAAGGTTATTATGCTTGGTTGACCGACCGCGTATGGTCAAAGAGCATACCGAAAAACCATCGCACGCGGCCCTTCCCGCTCCTGCTGACAGCAGGTCGTGTTCATGACGCGACGTATTACCACAACACTTTGTTCAGCCCAACCCTGTTGTTCAAGATCTGCCATAGAACCTGGCCACAATTTTCTCGCAACAGATTCTCATTGGCGCATCGTGCGTACGAACTGCATACTACCGTGCTGGATTTTCAAGGTACACCAATCACGCAGTGGGCGGAACGCCTTGTGGATGCTCTCAACAAGCTTCATGCAGCTTCGCCATCTTATCGATACCTACTCGGAACCTTACCGGTGTGATGTCAGCAGGTATACGCTTTCCGACAAGCGAACGTGTTCTAGACGATTGTGTGTAATTTCGCTTGTGCAGGATTTTATGGTCCCGGTGGAGCGCTCTGCCAATTCTTGTCAAGTTCGTATGCTCAACTGGCTGGCTGAATGGAGATCGCTGAGAGAATTCTTTCTGCAAGTTTCTTTCTTGCGCCACCACAACACGTGAAAAGACAAGCAGGATGACGGAGCAAAGTCAATGTGTTTGCAAATGACTCCATCGGTGAAGTCAGGCAACAGCAGCGGCCACAGGGCACTCACATGCGGAACGGATGTGTGATACTCGGGTATGGGCGAATTTGCCCCCGAGCTTACGCACTGTGAAGATTCTACTACTGCCGAATTCACACAAAGAGACCAAGATAAGTACAGCACGTGAAACACTGCGCTCCGCGATGTCAGCGCCAAATAACAAAGAATGGCGTGGCTTAGTGAAACCGCTTCTTGTGTATTCAGCAACGCCGAGCCCGAGAATCGTTCCCGTACAAAAAAAATCAAAATTGCCCCCAAGAACAACCAAGACTGGATCGTCAGCCACCAAGACGGCGAGGACAAAAGGGGATACGACGCCTCGTTTGGCCAACTTATTCCGGCTTGCACAAGAGTTATTTTGATAAAGTGAAGAAGAAAATTCAAGTGTGGGCTCGATGTACTATCAATCGCCAGAGCCGACGCGCTGGTGCGGGTGGTGCCTGGCGATCAAACATGTTTCGGGTGATTAGTAGAGGGGGGGGGAAGCCTGAAGATCAGGTTCGCCGATCAGCCAATGTGCAATGGTGTGGGGGAATTGCGACACATTCAACAACCCGCGGACCCCATCCATCACCCAAAAAAGAGAGAGGTATCGATGCCTGATACAGCGCGTGAAACACACCTGTAAGTTTTGTTTCGTGGCGTTTTCTGTTGGCATGTGTTGCTGCGGATGCCACGGATAACGTACAACCTGTAGGCGACGATCTTTCCTTTCTGCTCATACTAACACAAGGGGTCTGGCATATGACTTTTGCACTGCTGCTGTGTACAGAGTTCAACACTGCGACTTTTGACGCTGCACTACCACGAATCGTCACTGTGGATGATGGTGTCTGGACCAAAGCGGATATAGGCGCTTTCTTGACTCCTCGGGTGCTGGAAGAACGCTCACATCCTCCGGAGACTTTTACTCCGCTGTAGTAGTATGTATGGTCTCGCGGCACGTACCTACATAGTACATATATACAAACGGAGACTTTCCACGGCTACTATCATCTCATAGTAACCTAGTACGTACTTATAAAATTCCTTTTCCCCCCTCCCCCCTCGGCCGCCCCGCTGCGCATACCCCCCAAGTACCACTACATGGTCCAAACCCCTTTAACAAAGCAACCATACATACGTTCCCGATATGCGTGCGCGCGCACGAAACTCGGGTCAGGGAAGCATTTACCAAGTCGGACACGTGGAAATCGAGGCTTAGCTGCCATCTACGTTTTCCCGGCGTGCGCAAGCGTACCATATCCCAAGGTAACCAAGTGAAGAAAAATGGGTGGTCGATATGTCAAAACGTCATTGATGACCCTTATTAAATCGCATGAGCTGCTACAGTTGCATCAAGCACGGCACTTTTTTTTATTTCGTTTTCCCCTTTGCTAGGTAGATGTCAACTGCCTTGTTCTTCTTTAACCCCACATCCGCACTACACTGCACAATATTTAAACTTCTGACAGTGAATGCGAACCTCGGAAATTAGATTCCTTTATCACGGCCGGATTTTATTTTTTTTGCCTTTCCCACATCATCCATCATCCATGACCACAAAATTTTTCTTTTTTCCTCTACTCAGATAGTTCGCGTGCATCGAGCGAATAGTAGTAGAACCAGTAGGTAAAAAAAAACCCCCCGCGTGCGAAACCAACGTCAACATGTTATATCGAGTCCCATGAACGTGATATCGCTTTGTTTCTTCCCCGACGATCGGAAAGAATGGCCACCTGTCTACAGAAGTATTAATCTCAAGCATCACCCTACTATACGTCAGCAGAATAACAAGGTAGTCAACAAGGGCTTATGTGCAAATGAAACACATGACCAGTCTCTCCCTCCCTGCCTCACCTCCCCCCAAACAGGCCTACTTTACGCGAGTAATTTAGCTGATATGCATTGTTTGTAAACAAAACCAACTTTCCTTTCAAAGTTGCGATTCGCAAGAAGAAAAAGTTTCCAAAGTTTTAGTGCTGAAAGAAGAGTGTTCTTGGTTTCTGCTTGATTGACTAGTGTAACTGAATCGGAGATAAAAAAAGGATTGTAGCTGGGTACTGTAGATAGTGCGGATGAGACAGTATGAGGACTGTTGGGTGTATCGGTTGTGCATGGGTGTGTGTGTGTGGATCTGGGATTATGGGATGGGGTAGGGGTGGAGAAGTGTGTTTGTAGATAAGAGATGCGGGGTGTGAGTATGAGATGTGTGGATATGCGTGATTGGCAGTTAGAGGACAGGTGGGGTAGTAAGTATGGAAAGTGATGCGAAAGCATGTGGTAGATGAAGAAGATAGGTGTTATGTCGAGTGTAAAGACTACTGTGGTGCAAAATGGACAGCTGGATTGCTCGTCTCGTGTGTTGGCCCGAGGGGAATATGTAGGACGATAATATGCACGTCATAACAAGGAGATGACTGGATTTTGATGGAATAAGCCTGATATAATAACGTGACAGTAAGATCCATATAAAGATACAATCAAAGCAAAGAAGAGCAAAAGCTGCATCGAATCACATAAAGAGAGAAAATCAAGATAGATAGCTATGATACACGTGCCTGCAAATCTAACTCAAACATGTGCGCGCTTGCATCTTCAGAAAAAACGTATCCGTCGTCTCTCCCCAAGCCATAAAAATGGTAACTTCATACAAGAAAAAAGCGAATGGACGTCCGAGGCCAGCCATGCGGGGAGGTTGGGTGGGGTATCTCGAAGCATATATACATGTATAAAACGAAGGTCACGAACGACCTTTCTCACCGAGGTGAGAGAGATGTCATAATCGTATCCCAAAAGGTTATGGGCAGGTGTGTATGAATGTAAAAAGTTGGCTGGAAAAAAAGGGGATCTGTGTCTAACAGAAAAGAGAAGTGAACGCCATGAAATGCATGAATGGTATCAACTGTAGAAAAATCGGACTTTGCTACGTATAAACAAGATGTCGACCCAGAAATAGCCTAGTAGTTGTTGTCGTTAGGACGAGGCCCGGACGGGGTGAAACTACGCTGTGGGCCAGGCCCAGACGGGGTGTAGGGACGTTGCGGGCCGGGGCCGGAAGGAGTATAGGGACGTTGAGGACCGGGACCTGAAGGAGTAAAGGGACGTTGAGGACCAGGTCCAGAAGGAGTGAAGCTGCGCGGAGGAGGTCCTTGAACCCAACCTGGCTGGATCGGAGCAGTGGCACTGCGCTGTGGAGGCATTGAGCCATTCATAGTACGGTCAGGTATGTCTCGGCGTGGAGGTGCTGTGTTTGATCGTGGTTGGTTGGGCAGACCGCCAAACTGCGAGGGGGCAGGAGAGCCGGCCCTCAAAACATTGGGCACTTGTGGTGGTTGGTAGTCATCGTAATCCTTCGGGTCGGGGTAGTAATGTTGGGAGATTTCCTCTGTCGCGTTGCTTTCAACAGGCGATAGCTCGTATTCGGGACCTGTAGTGGGACCGCGGCTGTTGTACGGACTAAATCCCTGGTATGGACGGCTTGATTGAGCTTGCGATCGTGCGTCATTGGCGAGAGGAGAAACCAGTCGAGGCTCAGAACCATATGGAGCATCGTTGAAGCTCGTGTCCACTGGCGGCAAATGTCCCCGTTGAGCCATTGGAGACGCCCTGCCCTGTGACATTTGCGTAAAAGGCCTGTCGGAAGGATAGGGTGGGTTGCGCTGTTGACCAAAATAGTCACTGCCGTTGTTATCGAGGGGCACCATTCCGGGGGCTGGCGATGATCTGCCCATGTTACCGGCTTGGGGCAGCATGGGTACATTGGAACCATAGCTATTGGTAGAAAAGGTAGTGAATTGTGATTCGGACCGCGCGAGCGTGCTGGGACGTTCGTCAAGTGTGGGTAGAGATGGCTTCATCATCAAGTTTCGACCATTGTTTGAGACCATGCTGTTGGTGTGCGACTGAGGATATGGGGCATACGGTGGAAGCGTCGTGTTGGTACTCATCGTGTCGGAGCGCTGCAGAGAGAAGACGGTAGATGTGTCATCGTCGTCATCACCAATATTGGGCAGAGTTGGTCGAGACTTGGATACGTCAAGCTGGCCCTTCTTGATGGCCCTTTCTTCTTGCTTCTTCAATTGCTGGTTCTGCTTTTCGATTGCCTTCTTGATCTTCTTGCCGACAATGCGCTCAAGACGAGTCTCAACCTTGCGGCGGCAGTAGTTGGTTAGACTGCCGTCAGCCTTGGGAATGTAATGCCACAGGAAGAAAATGTAGAGAAGGCAGGCAACAATCAAACTCAGGGCAGCAATGACCCAAATCAGCAAGGAGAACAACATGGCGAAGTAGATGATGGTTTCGCGCTTGTTGCCGGTGTCGATCATGGTCTTGATGTTGACGAAGAACTGCTCAAAATTGGATCGATCCTTTGCAGCATGGTCGCCTCCGGGAATGATTTGGGCCTGCATGACGGCGTACAGAGTCATGGCATTGATGGCAACACGGGGACCTTGGGCGACGATGATGAGCAAGGCGCTCTTGAACTGGAAGTAGACAAAGAGGGCAATGTAGTTGACGCCTTTTTTACTCTTGGTCAACTCTGCAAAAACCAAGAAACGGCGCCAACCTTGGCCGGATGATGTCAGGCGCATACTCTGCCAGATGGCAGCCAGAGGCTCGAGGTAGCATTCAGTGACGCTTCCAGTGCGCATGACGCGCATAGTCCTGATCCAGCGGTATAGGAGAAAGACGTAGGAAATGATGATGGTAATGGCAAAGATCCATTTTGCGATTTCAAAAGGAACGGCGGGCTTGATGGTGCTGGTCCACTTGTCAAAGGCGAGAAGGTTGATGGCAGTGAAGGCGTCGGCAGCGTAGACGGCGCAAGAGATGAGAACAAGGATCCAGAGCCAGACGTAGGAGAAGGGAGCGAGACATGAAGTTGACTTGAAGTCGGACAGAGTCTGGGTGGATTAGTACATTGCAAGAGGGCGGACTGTGTCACTTGGGGTGCTTACAAGGTGCGTCCACTTTTGCTCTTCGGCCACGGTAAGGGCCTTTTCGCGATCTCCACAGCAGCCCATTGTTGTTGGTGGTGGTGTTGAGTATTAGATGGCGAGGAGGTATGTATGTATGTATGTATGTTTGTATGTTTGTATGAATGTATGTAAGGAGTGGTTGTACGTATCCGGTCAACGGTATGGTATCCTACAGCCCAGCTGCTTTGTCGAAGGAGTGACTTGCGTGGCTAGGACATGGATTGGGGAAGGAAGAGACAAAGAAAGGGTGGTCGCGAAGGTGGTAACAGGCCTGCTGCTCACCACGAATCGAGCAGAGGGAGGGAGCGACAGTAAACAGAATAGTTTTGTAGGGCGAGGGAAGGACTGAGGCTGGGGGATTTGCAGGGGACGGGGTGTTTCCCAGAAGCGTAGGTGTTCAGTTGGTACGGGGGCGTAGTGTGCATAAGAAAATACGCGTGTTGGGTGGAGCGTCTCACGTTTGAGGCACAAGGCTTGGGCACAGCGGTGACGGCGGAGAAAGCGAGACCGAGAGAGATTGCCCGTGGAAAGCCAAAAGGGAGAATGGAGCTATTGTTGGTGCGAGGGTGGATTGCTGAAGTTTTTTTGCACCGCAGTGAAGGCGAGTGAGGGCGCAATGAATAAGCGGGTTGCTGAGGTGGTGCTGACTGCGGGCGTTAAAGGAACGGCAGGTGCGATTGAGCACCGAGAGGGCAGTGGCGATGGGGGATAGCAAGAGAGTGAATGTCAAGCGCCCGCGTCTATGTAGCAGTGTCTATAGATACACCCGGCAGCGTTTGTGTGGCTGCGGTTGTCGTCGCTGTCGTCGCTGTCGTCGAAGGTGTAATGGGCACGAGTGGCAGTAAGAGAGCGCGTGCGGATGCTCGGGGCGTCTTTGATCCACTGCCCTGCGCGAGCGGCTGGTCCTCTTGCTGGGTCCTTTGCTGGGCGGGCGGGCTGGCGGGCCCTGATTGGTTGCGCCACACGGGCTGATGTTTGAGGGTGCCTCACTTGGCCCAATCAGGCAGGTTACTAGCCTGTTCCTCATTTCCTGCGCCGCACCCAGCGTGGGGTAGAGTGCCAATGCTAATCTATCCTCCCAACCCTACCACCCTATCGCTGTCCTCCTCGCGCCGCCCTTGTTTCTTTCTCGGCCATACACACCCGCTGTCGACAAAGCTTCCCGCAAATCCCAATGCAACAGGTGCACATCTCCACTTCCCTTCGGCGTGGCCGTGGCACAGGCGGCTCCAGGCGTTGGCCGTTCCTCACCACCTATTCTCGTGCCACAGTCCCTGTCTGAGGCCTGCATACCCGCGTGCAAAAGCGGAAAACCCCATTGCCAGTCTTACCCACTCTGCCTCACACGCAGCAAAGGGCCGATGCTCTGGGTCCATCGGTAACGTCGGCTGCTTCAGCCCTGACGCTCCAGTTCCGGGCAAAACGAAACGCGCATGATGCTCATCATTGGACTGCGCGATTATAGACATGGCCTTCGTCATGCTGCTGTCATGTGTCAACCTCCAGTGCATAATTCTAATTATTCCCGACTGTTATCCGTCCTGCTAACGTGCTGTGGTCAAGCACGACAACAACATGACTGTGGCCATATTAATGCCATTGCCAACTATCCACATCCTGGTCCAATGTCATGCTCAAACACTCTCAGTCCACCCGACGGGATTCTTCGCTCGTGACCTGTGACAGCCAAGTCTGCAGTCAGCGTCCTGCAAGACTTGGTATACTGAGTATGGAAGTCTGCCACGCAGTATCGATCGCAGCACTAGAGGCTTGGAGCGGACAACGTCGGCCTCGACGCCGCACTCAAGCCCCCGGAATTTGAGTCGCGCACAATCACCTACTGGTACGCCCCACCAGACCACACAGACGCCAAATGACGTCTAGTATGAGGCCCGCACACTAAGTATCGCTGACTAACCTTCCGACGCATGCTTTGGTAACCCCTTTGCAATGAACCAAATACACTCGCAAGACCAATATTTCCAAGATGGACAATTCCACCACACGAGAAAGCTAACCCCTCACCATGTAAACATCCCAACTGCGGGCGTGCTCCCTGCTCTCTCTGTCAGCATTTGTAGAATCTTCTGCTCAACCAATTCATGTCGCCATCGAGTGCTTGCCCTGGCCCCGATACGTCTATTGCCACATACGGCAGCACGTAATCATGAATACTGCATACGTTTCCGCCATTCCGGCCAACACAGTGGTGGCATCGTTCTTACAAATCACCACATGCCCTAACCACACCATGCCAACCCCAACAAGGAAAGCGGGGCCCTGCATATGCCCCGCGCGTGCGCGAAAGTAAACGTCATACTAGTATTTTCTAGAGACGGCAAGCAAGACATCACGCAGTATAAAACCCTCATTGACCGCAGCTTCAGTCTCGGTACAACTCAAGCTTGAGCAGAAGAATAAGCCATTGCAATAACCTAATACCTCAATCGTCAATTGCAACCATGGGCGCCGAACCTGATACTGCGAAGCCACACTCGCATCATGCCCTTACCAAAGACATACCAGAGGACAAGAACAGCGACAAAGTCGCCAAGCAAGATGAATTGAGAAACAAGGCTGCCCCTGGTGTATGCAATACTCTTCTTCGCGTCTCCACAATTTACTAACCCAGCTAGATCTCCTACTTTACACCTGAGCAAGATCCCCCTGCTGGAACTGCATTGGGCATGCTTGATGGCAGCTCCAAGATCCCCAAGCTCTTCCAGCCCCTCAAGCTTCGCGGTCTCGAGATCCAGAACCGCATCGCCCTTTCTCCTCTCTGCCAGTACTCGGCCGAAGACGGTCACCATACCAATTGGCATCTTACACACTTGGGTGGTATTATCCAGCGTGGGCCTGGACTGACATTTGTAGAGGCAACCGCTGTCGTTCCAGAGGGCCGTATCACGCCCGAGGACAGTGGATTGTGGAAGGATTCGCAAATGGAGCCTCTCCGCAAGATTGTCGAGTTTGCGCACTCCCAGGGTCAGAAAATTGGTATCCAACTCGGACATGCGGGACGCAAGGCTAGCACAGTGGCGCCATGGCTGAGCAAGGGTGACATTGCTACCAAGGAGATGAACGGCTGGCCGGATAATGTCTATGGTCCATCAGCCATTGCATTCAATGACAAGCACTGCACCCCCAAGGAGATGACCAAACAGGATATCGAAACATTCAAGCAGGCTTTCGTTGACGCTGTCAAGCGCGCGGTCAAGATTGGCTTCGATACCATTGAGATTCACAATGCGCACGGTTACCTGCTGCACTCTTTCCTTTCTCCCGCATCCAACCAACGCACCGACGAATACGGAGGCTCATTCGAGAACCGCACCCGCCTAACCCTTGAGCTGGTAGACCTCACTCGCAAGACCATCCCAGAGAGCATGCCGCTTGTCCTCCGCATTAGCGCGACCGACTGGCTTGACGAAGCTGGTATCGAAGGCTGGACTGTTGACCAGACCGTCCGTCTTGCCGAGATACTAGCCGACAAAGGTGTTGACCTACTCGACGTCTCATCTGGTGGGCTCCACGAGAAGCAGCACATCCATGGTGGTCCCGGATACCAAGAGCCATTTGCCAAGGCTGTCAAGGACAAGGTCGGCGACAAGATGGCTGTTGGAACCGTTGGTAGCATCACCGACGGAAAGCAGGCAAATGGTTACCTCGAGAACGACAACCTCGACGTTGCATTCATTGGCCGCATGTTCCAAAAGAACCCTGGCTTCGTGTGGCAGTGCGCAGACGATCTTGGTGTTGAAGTACGCTGGGCAAACCAGATCCGATGGGGCTTTGGCGGACGTGGCAAGAAGTAAGTTTCTTGCTACTTGTGTACAACATTTAGAGTCGTCATGAGCGACATAGAACGTCTTTTTTGTTTTTTTTAATACAGTAGAGTCTGGATTTAGATACGGATATACTACTAGAAGTATAATGAATCTAATGCACATTTTTTTCCAGGGACCAAGTCATCGATAAGAAGGCATTTGCCAACGAAGGTGCATTTGAAATGAACAAGAAGGACTAACGAGTCCAACTCCAGTACCAAAGCAGTGGTATCCGACTAAAATTTTAACAATTTGCTCGCTCACGTGAAGAAAAGACAGACTTTCAGTGTCCACATGACGTTTCCTTTTTCCCAAATACCTCTTTCCAAAGCAAAAACGACTGGAAGCTCTGACTGGGATATCTAACTTGCCCCACGTCATTTACCTCGTTCATCCGCGCCAGCTCTTCGACTGTGAAAACAACTTCGCTTCCCTTGACCGTTACCCTCTCTTGCTCTGTGTACGGATAGATTTCTGCCTGTGTGCCCGGGATACGGCGATCGGCCGTGTTCGTCAGGATACCGATGAGTGTCTTGACGCCCAGCACGCTCTGGATGTTGTCACCGAGTCGCGGCAAGACGCCGTTGAGGAGCGAGGTGATGGAGCGCGACGTCTTTTGCACCGAGCTAATCACGACGCCGCCGGGCGCGTAGGCGAGCACGTCGCCGTAGATGTCTCCGCTGCCAGTCCTCAGGTGCTGATCTTCCGTCGATGAAGCTGATAGCGCGGCTTCACCCAGTCGCTCCCCGAGATGCTGTATCCATTCTTGCGCGCCGGGCATGATGGGTGTTTCGGAGTGCTCATCCACAGTATGCACGCTTTCTACCATCCACCGCAGTACTGCATCGCTGAGCACCTGATTCGGATAGATTGTGCGCGACAGCAAATTGGGAAGCCAGCCCAACGCCTCCTCAATCCAATTCGTAGGGCTCTGCCTCACAAACCGGAACGTCATACGCCCGACATCGTAGTGAGTGCCCGGAAACCATTTCTGCGTTATGCTAGCCCTGGATTTTTCGTCGTCGTCGTCTGCTGTCTCCTCGCTAGCGGATACAAGACACGGCTGGAAGATCCACAGCCTATCGTGCAAGCATGGCGCATGGTAGCAATGCTGCACCACGCTCGAAATGCTCATGTCGAAAAATTCAAACGGACTCCAATCGAAGCCTACACCCGCGCTTAACCGTGGTATCCCCAGCGCACCCACCGTATCTATAATCCCCATGAAGCGAATCGGGCGTTTAACCTGCCACACTCTATCCTCGAGGCCCTTCCAGCGCGTGCACTCTTCGCTCTTGGGCGCATCAACAGGTAAGCTAGAGCGGTATGTGCGAAAGATTTCGTAACACAGGCGCGATACTTCGTCCTCGGTGTAGTCGGCGCGCCGCTTAATGATGCCGCAATTGTTAATCATGCCCGCGACGCAGCGCACGGTAAAGGCGCCGCGACTAAACCCGAACAACCAAATCTCATGCTCGTCGGTGTAGTTTTCGACTATGAATTTGTACACGGAGATGCATTCTTCGCTGATGGACGAGGCAGTCGCGCCGTCCCAGATGTACTGCATGAAGTTTTTGTTGAGGCCCACGCCTTCTTGGTAGCCGGCGACGATGGCATCTGGGGCGGAGGCAGGGGAAGTCTCAGAGAGGTTCTTGTTTTTGTGTGGCTGGATGGGGTGGACGGTTGCGGCGGCTTTGTCGTCGGTTTTGTACTTGACGGTGCCGACCATGTTGGCCAGCTGCCGGATGTTGCTTGGTGGTGCGTCGTCGACGGCTGTCTCGCGGCCCACCCATGTGCCGTCGCAGAAGACGGCGAGGCGTTTGGGCGGTCGGTGGGAGCGTGCTGAGGCCATGGTTGTTGTTTGTGAAGCCGATAATACAATATTTTACGTTGGTAAACTCTTTTTTCCTTGGATGGCGGTGCGATAGCCTCCTAGATACCTTCTCTTTCTCACGGTGACCACGATGAAGATAGAAAAGAAGGAAAAGAAGGCAAGAAAATAAGCACCACGTCAACCTTTTGTCTCTTCCCTCAGCCTTGATCCCTCGATCCCTCTCCCGTCCTTTCAGCTGACAGGCAGACACCCACACGCCTACGAGGGGGCTGAACTATATCAGCAAAGTCTCAGCCTCGCCTTGCCGTAATACCCTATAACAGGGGTAGTGGGCGGCTCACGAGCTAGGCGAACAAGGGGGCGTTGTTGAATCTCACCGCGTGCGCCTTCCTTCAGCACCAAAAAAAGTCTTTTGTTATGTATGTAATACTAAAAGCTTACCACGACGAGCTGAGGATTGTGATAAGTGTGCGAAGAAGAGCTGGAAGTTTTAGTAGTCGCCTGAAACAAGAGGGGCGGTGATGGTCCCGAGACACAGTGCGGTCCGCGCGATGACTTTTGCATCATCGTTGTTTCTTATCATTCATGGAATGAAGATGGACCTTGTTTTTTTGCGGGTAGTATAGACACGTACAGCGCAGAGGCGGATGGAGAATAGATACGTGTATACTGGTTGACGTCATGTCTTGCATGTCAGAAAGAGGGCTAGCGGGTACCTGACAGCTGTGGTGTACCACTAGGATGGGTGGCACTAACGCCGTAACACAATCATGTGCGTAGGTTTGTTCTCGTGTTGCCAGAACTTTGAGACATTGGAGTGTAGTTCTGTTTGTGAGGGAGCCGAAGTTCCCCGTCGACGGGTGATGGAGTCTCATGCCCTTCTGCCAACTGCGCGATCGACGTATTCGGTGACTGCAGCTAAACTCGGCCATATGACAATTGTAAAAAGATGAAAAAGGGTATCATTATTTCATAACCTAGCGTAACACGTGCAAATGCTCTCTACATTAGCCCAGCACCTCCTCAAGCGCTTCCCACGCCCCCCTCTGCGCATCCGTCTTCCTCACCTGTTCTTTCCCCACACCGATACTCCCTTCTGCCCCCGCATCCCTCGCCCAATCCTTCTCTTCCCCATCCACAGCCCCAAACCCTGCAAGTACCTGCCGTACCTTCTCCCCCATTTTCCGTACCCCCTCAACCTCCGCTCTCTTGCGCCGCACCTGCTCCTCCATCCGCTCAATCAGCGTTTGCCGCGCTTGATGCGGCCGGTACTCATTAATCAGCGCGTGCATATTGGCCACCATGGTCATGATATCCTTCAACTTCTCATCTTTCTTCTCAGACACCGGGTCTGAAGCTACAATGCCCAGGAGCGATATGTAACTCAAAAGTATACTGCGCAGAAACCTGAAAAGATAGTTTTGTCTGTCCAGTGATACCGAGTTTGATGTTGTTATCGCTGACGAGGTAGGTGGTTGCTGAGACGAGGTTGTGGACGAAGGGTCGCTGGGGTAGAGTTGCTCGTACTGCCAGTCTTGGAATACGCCTTGCATTTTTAGCTGGTCGGCTATGTATTCCATGTTCTTCATGAAGACTTCGGTGCCTTTTGCTTTGGCCACTGTATCGAAGACGTGAAATTCGGCGTCGTCGGCGGGGGGCTCGGGCGGGATCAGGTAGCGGAGTTCGGCGGGCAGCCCGAGGATTTGCTCGGGGGAGAGCTTTGTTCCTGGTGCGGCATTGGAGGAGGAATCATCGTCATTGCTGTCGTGGAGCCCGGCTTCTTTTTCGATTTCTTGGAGGCGGGCGAGGTTTTCTGGTGTGAAGTGCTTGTAGAAGGGTGGGGGGTCGGGGAAGAAGCTGAGGACAATGTCTTCGTCCTCGACTTGACCGGGTTGTTGAGGGTCTGCCATATTCACGAGAGGGCTGTGAACGAGATCGCTGCTGCGAGTCGTGCGGGGAAAATGTGGTACACGGCTGGAATTGAGGTTTGGATTTCTAGTCCATCACCAACGCGTGCTGGTCGGACCCTTGCATGCAAGCTTGGGTAGCTCAAGCTCGGACCCCTGCTATTACCCACTTTCCCTTTCACCACACGTGCTTCGCCGGTAATAGCCGCAATGACATCGGCACGAAAAAGATCCTACCGGGCACAATTAATAATTCATTGTCTGTGATTGTGAGGTAATGACGAGCTTTTCTGAGTATGCCCCGCTTATCTCCGAGGCAATCTGTAGTACGCACCCAAGATGACGCTATAAGTGGTATTACCAACCCGCTACTGAATACCTTCCTTAGTAAAAACCTCTATAAAATCACACAAGACCCTGATCAATACTGAAAATCTTCATCCCGTATCAAGTTTCATTTTAATAAATCAAAAATGTCTACCCAGAAAGCAGTAGTCCACGTCTCAAAGGACGTATCTGAGTTGAGAGACGACGTACCTCTTCCTAAAATTCCAGCCGATAACTGGCTTCTGGTCAAGACCAAAGCTGTTGCGCTGAATCCGACTGATTGGAAAAGCATCCATCATTCGACTTCGCCGGGCGCCATCGCGGGATGCGACTATGCCGGAGTTGTTGAAGAGGTCGGAAAAGCAGTGACCAACTACAAGGTTGGTGATCGTATTTGTGGATTTGTTCGTGGAGGCAAGCAAGAGTATCTTGATGTCTGAAGAAAGGTATCACTAATATGCCCCAGGCGACCCAGCGGACCACTCCAACGGTGCTTTTGCCGAACACATCAAGGTCAAAGAGGGCATCAACCTCAAGATCCCTGACAGCATGTCCTTTGAGGATGCAGCAACCTTGGGCATTGGCATCACTACTGTAGGCCAAGGATTGTACCAGGAACTCGGTCTACCAATCCCCCCAGCCAAGGTGGAAGAACCTACACCTATCCTGATCTATGGTGCTTCCACAGCAACCGGCACGATTGCTGTCCAGTACGCGAAGCTCTCGGGCTACGAGGTCATTGCCACATCCTCCCCCCGTAACTTTGATCTCCTCCGTAAGCTTGGTGCTGATCACGTCTTCGACTACAACGAGCCCAACGTCGGAGCCAAGATCCGCGAAGTAACCAGCGACAAGCTCAAGTTGGTCTTCGATTGCATTGCCGAAGGCAACTCGTTCGACATCACGGCCGCGGCTATCAGTTCCACCGGTGGCCATATGTCTGGGCTCCTACCTCCCGGCAACTACCCGAGGGATGACGTGAAAGCAGTTTGGACACTCGGCTACACGGCGCTTGGTGAGAGGTTCAACGAGAGACTTGACGCCAAGCCACAAGACTACGAGTTTGGTGTCAAGTTCTGGAAACGAGCGCAGGAGTTGATCGAGAGCGGCAAGATCAAGCCACACCTGGCTGAGGTGCGGGATGGCTTGGCTGGTGTCCCTCAGGGCTTGCTGGATTTGAAGGACGGAAAGGTTTCGGGTGTGAAGCTCGTGTACAGGGTTGAGTGAAATGTGTAGGATGTACTTGTTGGGTTCTCAAACGATTTCTTGATATAATACTGTATTATATAAACAATGTCTCATGGATTATGTTTGGTCTGTTGGTGATTGAATGGGTTTGCATGTCATTTGCACACTGAAAAGATGACATGGTGGATGCTATGAACTATCAGTGGCACAGAATTCGCAGTACGGCTTCGGATATAACAAGAAGCAAGGTAGATATGGTAACAGTGCGGATGAGAAATGCTCCCGGGATTACCCCCACAGTACTAGCAGCACCAATCAAGCTCCGTTTATCCTACACGTGCGTGGGGAAAAGCATACTTGCATCTACCCCGCCCGTCATCACTAGCAGGTACCTACAAGCTTGCGGCTCGTAGATTCGACTTGCCCATTCAAGTATCTTGCAGCAACGCTGCAAAGGCAAGACATGCGGGATGTCGATGACACGCTAGACCATTTGATAGGGTCATGGAGCATTCAACTAATCAGAGTCTCACATTGCAACATGTGCAATTGCGATCAACAGGCACCGGATTTCACGCTGAAAATACGTCATTTCTGATTGGCCTTCTGCGGTATCATGGTCTTGTTGAATGTACAACGTGAACGTGTGGAGCTTAGCGTATCGTCATACATGTCTACAAGGACTAAAGCGTGCATACAAGCATGCAAGTATCGAAGACGTCAAAGGCCAACCACTGTTTATAAATACCCTGATACCCGATATTCTTCCAAGCCAGTCGGAGCAAACAAACTCCTCGAGTCCACAAGATGCTCTCGCTCCTACTTGCAACAGTTCCGTTGGCTTCGCTCGTTTGTGCATCCTTCGACGACAACTTGAACTACCACTCGCCTTCTCGTCGGCACAATGATCTTGGAATAGATGTACCCAAGGTCGCAAAGAGAACCCTTTCCAAACGCTCTGCTCCATGGGACCCGGCCCAGCTCAACTTCACACATGGTGTGGCCTCTGGAGATCCCTACCCTGACTCCATCATCCTCTGGACCCGTATTGCACCCTCGCTCGAACATGACAGATCAAATGTTACTGTTTCTGGCTATGTAGCACTCTACAACCACGAGACAGAAAAGTACATCCAAGCTTCGCCAAATCCCATCTGCGTCGACTATCGTGTTGGTACAGACAGCGACCTCTCAACTGTTGTTGATGAAGGGCAAGCATACACCACCTCCGACATCGACTACACTGTCAAGGTTATTCTCATGCGCCACTCCAGTTAAGACGGAAGCTAACTCCACAAAGGTTGAAGCCAAGAACTTGGAGCCATTCACCCAATACTACTATCAATTCAGTGTCTGCGGCAGCTCCAACAAAAGTCCTCTAGGCAGGACCAAGACCAGCCCTGATCATGACGACGATGTTTCCAAAGTCGGTCTTGCAGTCTTTTCTTGCTCCAACTGGCAGAACGGATATTTCAATGCTTATGGAAATGCTGCAAGAAAAGATAATGTGGACTTCTTTGTAGGGCTCACCGGACACTTCTCATGTAAACCTGACTGATGCAAAATTCAAGGTTCATCTGGGCGATTATATATACGAGTCTACCAAAGGAAAGCTCGGTAAAGATCCTAGAGCAACGAATCCGCCACGCGAGATTGTCACACTATACGGTCAGTACCCATACTTTGCCAAATATTCATCGCATCTGATGCATTTAGTAGACTACCGAACTAGAATTGGCCAGTACCGTACGGACGATGATTTGAAGCTTGCTCACCAGAACTTTGCATGGATCCCCACATGGGACGACCATGGTATGTCAAATTACTTTGTGAATTGTATCCATCTGACTCCTCTCAAGAAATTGCCAACAACGGATACCGTGATGGATTTAGGTAAGAGACTTCCGTTTGCCTCAGAGTATTTACTAATACAGGTAGCAATATGAACAATACCGAAGAGAGCTTCTTGAAGTACGGAGGTATCAGCGTCGACTCCAGGAAAATGAATGCCGTCCGAGCGTACTTTGAATGGATGCCGTAAGTCTCGTAAAACACTACCTTTCAACAAACTAATAAGGAGCAAAGGATCCGCCAGGTTGACCTAGATGACAACCTTCGCATTTGGCGTAACTTCAAGATGGGCAAGCTCTTCGACCTCATCATCCTTGATACCCGCAACTATGATCGGTCGATTACAACCCTGGACGAGAACGATGCCTATATCGAAACCATCAGAGATGATGCTAGTCGCTCGCTCATGGGCAGTCGTCAGGAAAACTGGTTCTACAACCGACTCTCCGAGTCACATGAACGAGGCGCTACTTGGAGGATTGTCGGTAACCAGATCATCTTTTCGCGCATGAACAATAGTGCGGTCTACAGCGACTGGCTGAATGCTGATCAGTGGGATGTAAGTATCGGATTTGCACAATGACCAGGAAGCGCTACTGACTTTGACGAGGGCTACACCGCAAACCGTAACCGTACTCTACACCATCTCTACAGTAACAAGATCCCAAACACTGCATTCTTGGCCGGCGATTCACACGCCAACTGGGTTTCTGATCTCGTTTGGCTGGACGAAACCCCATACGACCAGGCTACGGGAGAGGGTGCGATTGGAGTCGAGTTTGCTGGCACTGCTGTCTCCTCTAGCGGTTACGGCTCTGGTAGATCGATTGCGAATTCGACCGACCGCTCTGCAGCGCTCGTTCGTGACAACAGGGAGCTTCAGTGGACAGAGGGTTACTACCGAGGATACTATGAACTTTTCATCTCGCCTGAAGAGCTCAACGCGCAGTACTACGGTAAGTCGTGTTGTCAATCTCTGTTCGTCTTAATCATCACTCTTTGCTAATCCTTTGAAGGCTCTCCTTCAGTCGCTTCTCGCAACCCTTTCGACATTAGTCTCGCCAACTTCACTGTCAAGGCGGGCGCTAACCACCTGGCGAGGACTAATGGCTCGGTTGTGGCAGCGGGCGGATACGTTGAGAGCGGCGCGCTCCAGCGTGGGCCAACGACTCCAACGAATCTGACTCTGAACACTGTTACTGGCACGTGGAATATTACCGGTATCGAGCAGATGTTTATCAAATATTCTTGAAAAGTAGTTGTATCTGAAAACATGTTGATAGGCTGGCTGCAAGTACGACGCTCGACGTGGCTTACGCCCGTCAGCACCTTAACTTCGCGATAGATACTAAATATGACGAGCAACCAAGAAGAGACATTTTGTGTTCTTTCTAAATCTTGCATCCTCTTGAAGTCACTACGTAGAACCTGTCAAGCGCGTGGGCGCGCGCAACTACGCGCGAATAGGTCAAGTCAGTCTCGAGGAGGCGTATTGACCCATTTTGCTGCTGATTGGATAGTAGCTGCTCCACAAATAAACCAATCGCTGTAGTGATGGTGATGGCTCCCTGAGTCGACTCCCTGAGTCGACTGCGCGCAGCACTATGAAGAGGCGCACACCCAGCGGCGAAATACAAGCTGAATGGCGCCGCCGCCGCGAGCCCCGCCCTAGACTGAATCGCCATGACGCACTTCTGTCGGGTTCGGACTATTATAAAGTTATCCAGGACAGCGCCCTGGCAAATCGCATTTAGCTCACCTCAACCTCTCCGTCTCAGCCAAAAGTCCAGCAAACATGGCCGCCACAATGAAGGCCTGGCAGTATAACAGCACGAATGGTGGTATCGAGAAGAACCTTCAGATCAACGAATCCGCACCACTACCCTTCCTCCACGATGAACAAGTCCTCGTCCAAGTCCACGCAATGGCACTGAATCCCGTCGATTACAAAGTCACTGAAGGCCCCATGCCCCTTCGACTCGTGGGATCCAACATCACCCCGGGTGCTGATTTCTGCGGCACAGTGGCAAAAGTCGGCCGAAAAGTTGACGAGTTCCAAATCGGCGAATTCGTCTTTGGCGCAAAAGTCGGTGCGCTGACCAACGGAACCCTCGCTCAATATGTAGTCGTAGAACGAACTATGCTTGCTGTGCTACCAGAAGGTGTGAAAGTTGAGGAAGCGGCAGGCGTCGGCATCGTCGGGTTGACAGAGTAAGTTTGTGGTTTTGTTTTTGCTTATTTCTAAGGAAATGACGCAATGAGATACATATGGATTAACACGGACCCCCGTATAGATACCAGGCGCTTGTGCCAAACGTCAAGAGCGGCGACAAAGTCTTTATCAACGGCGGCTCAGGCGGAACCGGCGTCTTTGGCATTCAAATCGCTAAAGCGCTGGGCTGCCATGTTACCACTAGTTGCTCGACTCCCAACATTGAGTTTTGCCAGAGCCTTGGTGCAGACGAAGTTATAGACTACAAGACTACGGATATCGTTGAGGCGCTGTCTGCCAAAGGTCAGGTCTTTAGCACCGTGGTAGACAATGTCGGTGCGCCTGACAACCTGTACAAAGCGTCATCTGCTTTCCTCCTCCCCAAGGGCAAATTCGTGCAAGTCGGGATGCAACCTAGCCTTGGTGGTACGAAGACGTTGGTTAGCAATATGCTTCTGCCGGGTTTCCTGGGTGGCGGAAAGAGTTCCTTTCAGTTAATTGTGGCTAAGCCGTCTGCGGAGCAATTGAGGCACATGAGCGAATGGCTTAAGAAGGGCTCGTTGAAGCCGATTGTGGATACAGTGTTTGAGTGGGAGGATGCACCCAAGGCTTTTGAGAAGCTGAAGACAGGAAGGGCGAAGGGAAAGATTGTGATTAGAGTCCCGCAAGATAAATCGAAGGACAAGGCAGCGGATGGATCTTCGTAGGGATGAACATGGTTGGTAGGATTTTCCGACTTTCTCTACTATTTTGGATTGATAAGTACTGTGGAAACTCACCACGCATTTTGAGGATCGTTCCCATGCGTTCACGATTTGCTCATCGATGATGTTTCCATCACTTGGTCTGGGCCACAACAATCTTAAGCGGAGACATATAGATTATCGTCAAACTATACTAGCGTACAGCCACCAATATACGTATCGAGAAGGTCTGGTTGAAAAGCGTTTGAGGCGAGCATGGGGATGAAACCCATACAGCAACAACCCCTGATGGAAGCTTGGCAACGTCCTCGCATCCCGACAACATTACACTCAATCCCCCCAGACTCTCGTTTTTTTAAGCTTTTTCTTCGTTCCATGGCACAATGTCTTTGTTTTCTCGGCACTTAATTCTTATCGCGTCGTCGGCCTTTTTTCTTTTGTTCATCGCATTGTCGCTAGCGACGGCTATCCAGATTCGCGGTATATCGCCCCAGATCGTACAAATCAGCTCTGCGCAGGCTGCTAGGATTCCGGATGATGGAGATGTGGTGGCGGCCAAGGCGCTGCTGAATGGTACGGAGTTTGATCGTGGAGATGTGTTCAATGGGAGCAGCGTTATATCTGGATTGCCGCTTGCATCGACTCTCGTGACCATGACGTTGGAGTCCACCGACACTGCGGCAACACTCGTGTCCTCTACCCTGGATATGGCCATTCTATCTACTGCCACAGTAAAAACGACCATTTCCACTGTCTTGACGAAAACGCTCGCTTCGACTACTTTGACCACGACAATCGTTGCCACTACCCTGGTGAAAACGCGCGTATCCACTACGACAACGAAAGAAACCGTACCCACCCTCATGACCGAAACACAAGAAGGTATAATCGGATTCACCCCAGAACCCCAAAGCAGCGGCAGCTGGGACGCCGAAGGAGTCCTAGGCCCTAAACTCACACCCAAACCCACACCATCACGGGCTCCAGCCCCCAAACCCGTCGCCCCTCCAGCCCCGCAAATCCCCATCCTCGCCCTCACATACGCCGGCTCCGGCGGCCCCAAACACTGCCGCGGCAAACTCCTCAAAAAGTCATACTTCCCGCCTCCGCTTGAAAAATGGAAAAACGGAACTTGCATCAATTTGCCGGGCGAAGCGCGCTGCGGCGTATTTTTTTCGAATAAAGGGGATAATTGCGAGGCGCAGCTTTTTAATGAGGGGGATTGCTTGAATACTACTAGCACGTATATCAATACTGTTGTTTTTATGCCGGAGGAAAGGGCCGTGGGTGCGCTTTGGAAGAGCATGTTTGTCCGGTGTGGGGTCGAGGTGCCGGAGGCTAAGATGTTGGATCCGAGTATCCTTGGGGGAGCGTTGAAGAAACCTGGTGGTGGTCATGGTTGAAAAAGGGATTTCGGGATTTCTAGGATTGTGTTTTCAAGATTTTGGGGTATTGGATTCCAGAATTGCTCGTTGGTGTGGGCGAGATGCGTGAAATGACGCTTTCAAGCGTATCGTGATTGCTGGATGGAACACAAGATGACAGAGGGATGCTTGCTTTCATACGTTCTTCCAGGATACGAGATGTTCATGCGGTACCCGGATAATAACGATAAAGCGGCCATATACAACAACAGGATTGCGGCTCTAACCAGCGGCCTGCACTGGGCTGGCAGATGTCTGTGGTTTCAGGGACCGAACCATGCTCCAATTTTCCAAGGAAGGGGCCGCAATTGAGTACCATGGGAGGAAAGATGGATGAATAATTGGAAAGAATGGGTTCGCGCAAGGCAGTCCATGTTCTCTATATTCGCCACTGGAGTTTCACCGAGGCTTAGGCTTGCCACACCTTTTTCGTGAAGCATACCTATTCTGGCCTTAATGAGCCACAATTACAGCGAATATCAGACTGCTTTTCTGGTCTAGGGCAAGGATCAACGTGGGTGTGCTCATGAGGTGGGGTCCGAAAGTGTAAAGAACATCAAGCCGCACCCGTAAATAGATACCGCAGCACGTCGCTAGCACGCGCTTGAGCCGCCGCGGCTCTTCGGAAAATGAAAATTATTCTACTATCAGTGACGCGTATGCCTTGCCAATGTGCGGCCCGCAGCGTCAGGCTCTTTTTCCAACAGCACTGCCATTAAGGCCCCCTGCCGATCGCCCAAGTACGAGGTGAACAGCACATTATGACGGTTGCCTGATTGAATTATAAGGACTTTAGTTCTCCGGCACCACCTGATGTAGTTCTTAACTCTTTTCTCTCAAAGAACAGGACTCAAAGTTTGTAAACGCCTAGAAACCAAATCGACTCTTCTCTCAGCCAGTCTATACACAAATCACCCGCGCGCTCCATACTTTCGACTATCCGGCCCAACGAATTTCTAAATCATTCACGACATGGCAGGCCCTATGTTGAACCTCACAATCTTTACAAAATCAAGCTACCACGCCCTCCGTGCCATCTCGCTCGCCACCTTCCCGCCTGGCTTCCTCATCCTGCTTCTCCAGGGCATCTTCTCCGAATGCGTCAATCCCGCCATTGGCATCCTCCCTTTATTCTTCTCCTCGGCTTACTCCGCATTGCTGCTTGCGAACGAGAAGAAGTGCGGATGCCAAGCTAGTGGGTTAACTGGGACGCCGATTCACCTGGTGTTTGACCTGCTACTTGGCGTCGCGCTGCTAGTGTGCCTGATCTTGTAAGAAACGGCTCCATTCAATTGAGCGGCTTTGACTGACTGTGTAATTTCCAGGGATTGGGTATTCCTCCCTGATGGGGGCGCTACCCGGGACATGGTCATGCTGGGCACTTATGGGACTAATTTTCTCATTTGCAACTTGTATGTCTTTTAGATAACCTTGACTACCGATTGAGGGAGACTGATATATTCTAGTTTGATACACCTTTACTTCGTCATGACGCAGATCCACGAAGCGCTCCAGCCGGGTACCTATTATCCTACTTCATGCCCGCAGTGTCAGGGTAGATCTTTTTCGGTCGGGAAGTACAAACTTAACGCGGAGTTACTTAGTGGCTATGCACCTCTACTAGATGGAGAGGGCAGGCCCAACAACAGTGCAGGAGAAGCGGTAGTGAGTGAGGGCGAGTCTGCAGTATAAACAAATGTGCTTAATCGGCTGAGTGGCCTTGATCAAAAGAAAGACGGCTATGGTAATAAGCAGAAGTGGCTATATATCAAGTACATGCGAATTGGTGATTCAAAATCTAAACCATCTTCACAGCATGGGTTGAAGGCTTTGAGGTTCCCTCAGTATGGGTACTAGTCATTTTACGGATGTTGTTTGAATTGGAAGTTCTCTTAGTTATGTTCTTGGAGATTCAGGTATCTGTAGGTCCGAGATTTCTGTTGCCAACAATATTAAGCAATCTGCTAACGGTTACAGGCCGAACTGCTTAGTCTGCATGCTCCCCCTGATTGGATGTCTCGATACCATGTCGGCTTGTAAAAATTGTTAAGAATTGGGGTGGCACTGCTCACTCGAAGAGTACGTTGGCGAGGTAGCAAAATATCCCGTGACCAATTTTCTTACGTCTCTTTTACGGAACATCGGTAAACACTTTGCACTTACCGCAAGCGGTGTCACGATGCCCAGCCCGGATAGCCAGCCGCGGGCCGCGGGATCTCCTGATTAAGCAGTTGCTAGCCAAAATTAATTTTCCACGTCAACAGGACGGTTTGCCCCTCATTCCTTCACTTATACACAGCCACCCGTACACAAAGGAGGAAACACGCAGCAAATAATCATCACTAATTTCAGAAATGCTTTTACGACTACCACGCACGAGACCGCGCCACAATCATCAACTAGCCAGAGGGGGACGAGTAACCTGAGTCCACAAAGCAGCCAAGCTTGTTCACCACGTCGTGACATGCACTCCTGTAAGAACTACATCTTACGTCCAATCTAGTCCAAACGATACATCTCGCTTGCAGCGTCTCGATCGCTCCGTTTACATGCAGAGTCCTTTTCTACCGCTTGGTGTGGCAACTTGAAGATACCTGATTGGACAATACACGTGCATACCGTTTACACATGCTTCAAGGTGGTCAGACGAAGGTAGCGGGAAAACTACTTTTTCCCACCAACATGAACTTTAAGTAACGGCAACGGGATTGATAAACTAGCCACGCCAGTCTCAACCACCTACCCTCTTGGTTTACTCGCAATGGAACGTATCGCAGATCTAGCAATATTTACAAATGGAGTCGGTGCCTGCGTGCGAAGGCCGTTTTATCCACGCCAAAATCCAGGTTTCAACATACATTTTGAGTTACCTTGGTCGTCGGTTGTCTGATATCTGTGGCCATGAGGAATCTCCGCAAACTCGCACTAATTGCTTTCGCCACAAGTGCTGTCGCAACGATTGCCCAGGATGTTTTTAAACCAGCTGATTTCAACGTTACAAAAGCACTTATTGGCAACGGCTTTAATGTGTCCGCCATGCCAGGGCTGTCCAACTTAGTCGAACAGTCTTCGCTGGAAGGCTGCTTGATCGCCGTGAGTTGATCCACTACGTTGCATCAGATGCTGGCTAACACTATCGACAGTGCGATTCTTTGAAGTTCGTCTTTGGAGACTCGAAGCTATCACAAGAAGCTCCGACAACATACTGGTCGCAACAGCAGCTCAGTGTAAAGCCCCGTTGTACATTCATTCCAACAGCAGCCTTGGAGGTGTCGACTCTAGTTTTACTTTCACGCTTGACGCAGTGTCCGTTTGCGGTCAAAAGTGGGGGACATGCTGCGTTTCCTGCATCGAGTATTGAGGGCGGTATTACGGTTGATCTGTTGAAAATGAACAAGCTCGTGCTATCTGCTGATAATAAAACTGTTGCTGTCGGTCCCGGAAACCGCTGGAAAGAAGTTTACGACCACCTCACCCCTTACAATCTTGCAGTAGTTGGTGGACGCGTAAGTCACTCAATATATTAGCCAATCACGTGATTGACAACCTCAACAGTCTTCGACGGTCGGAGTAGGTGGTCTCACGCTCGGCGGTGGCATCAGTCACCACAATGACAAGTACGGCCTAGTATGCGACAACATCGCATCATACGAGGTCGTTTCCGCATCTGGAGCAATTATTACCGTCCGCGAAAAAATGTACCCTGACCTATACTGGGCTCTCCGAGGCGGCGGTAACAATTTTGGTGTCATTACGACCTTCAATTACGAAACCTTTCCTCAAGGTCTCATGTTTTCTAGCAAACGCCAATATAACGCCACCCACATCCCCGCATTGTTGGACGCTTTTGGAAACGCGGTTCAGGACGCCGAGGTGGATACAAAGGCCGCGCACTTTGTTGCCGTTGCATACAATTCGGGATACAGGATTGCACCTGCAGTGTACGAATATTTTGATCCGGTTGACGTGTCGAATCCACCGGACGTTCTCAACGACTATCTTTCGATCCCTGCTCTTAATGAAGCCACCAAGAATACCACATTGGCCGAGATTACGTTGGGGCTGACTGAAAGCATGCCGGCCGGCTTACGCACAACAATGTGGTCGCAATCGTTCAAAGTCAATACGGAGCTAATGAAATGGATGAGTAACCACTTTTTCGAAATCGCCCCTACGTTTCCCGGTGGCGGCGCCCCCTCGATCGCCTTCCAAGCTTTTACCAAGCCCGCGTTGAGGGCCATGCAGAGGAAGGGCGGCAATGCGCTGGGTCTGCGCCCGGACGATGGACCCTTCTTCCACGTCCTGCTCTACCTGATCTGGACGGATGAGAAGGACGACAAGACCATATACAAGACGGCACAGGACTTTCTGGCCGCGTCGACAGCAAAAGCCAAGCAGCTGGGTGCATACAACGATTACATGTACATGGCGTACAGCAGCCCGTACCAGCCCGTTATATCCGGCTACGGAGGTGACAGCGTGGCAAGACTAAACAAGGTCTCGAGCAAGTACGATCCCAAGGGTGTGTTCCAGACGTTGCAACCGACATCGTTCAAACTCAATGGGGAAGCCCCATTTGGCGCCGTCGTCGCCATATAAGCATAAGTGGGGTTTGGGTATGTGATTCGTTTGCTTTTGCAGTACGACATCGATGTTTCGATCGCGGCCGGGCACGATAGCGCTATACGCTTTCCCCCCTCATCAAATAAGTCATGTCCCATGCAGGTGTGTCCGGGTTTCCACTTTGTACATATACATATGTACTACATAGACATGTACATATGCGGGCGGCCCATATCATTATCAGCAATCATATTGCCAGCGCAGTGGACATTTCACTATCTCTCCAAGCTAACAAGATGTACGCCATTTTTTTCCCCGTCCGGCCCACCCTGCTTCTCCACCCCCTTGCTTTCCTACGCGCCACGCGCTGCCCGTGATTGCCCAGAAGGCCATATCCTCTTTCTCCTCTTGTCTTACTCTGCATACGCGACCCCCTTGCTCTTGATACATTATCATGCAGCCAAAATACTTCTCCACCACGCTCTAGACTTTGCCTGTTTGCGTTGTCTCACGCGCATATATAATACATATGTACATGGAAAGTGGACATGGGTCGGGCGGGCTGAATATTGCAACAATATGTACCTATAATCCAATACAATGGTACTGGTCACTCCTCTTTTTTTTCTGCCGCTTTTGCTAATGCAACCCAAGACTTTTTTTGTTTGGTGAAAAAACGCCCCCCTCCCCCTTCCCACACCCCAGGGCGCCTGGTCCTGCTATGCGCTGGTTTGAGATTTAGAGTTCGTAAGGATATGCAACATTAAGCATGCGGGTGAAGGGGGAGGGGGGGGGGTGGGAAGTGACCGGAAGGGCAAGGTGGGAATGACACGTACATAGATAACAGTGCCGATGTACTCTAGTGTTAGCAAAGATGGGGAGATGGTGGTGGGAGGTGGCAGTGGTGGTGAAAGTGGAGAAGCGGTGAAGCCAGGGCTTGTGCTGAGTCAGTTGCCACTGGGGTGCATAAATGTGACATGTACATATATGGAGATGTGCAAGATGGTATGCATATGTCGCATAAGGTGAACACCTCGTTCAGTGTAGCCTTTTTGGTTCGTTTGTCTGTCTGGCCTGAGGTGTGAAGTCGTGGTGTGGCTGTGCTGTTGTCTCATGTGTGCATAACATACATGAGAGGAGAAAAAAAAAGAATGCATGTTCGCTAGAGGGAATTCTCCGAATCATATGGCGCTAAGCCAGTCGTATAGTATTGTGGTGTTAGGGGAAAAAAAGGTCTCTATATTTTTTTTTTTGGGTTGGTTGTAAAATGTAAGAAAACAAAAAAGGCTAAAGTAAGATCCGGATATTTTTCGCTAGTCGCTCGTCGCTATGCATGGTTGCAATTGAATGCTTTGTCGCTCTTTCTAGAATGTGACGTTGGGAATCCCAGTAACAGGCTTTACAAGAAACAGAAAAAAAAACAGTTAGCAAGAACGCCTGATTTTCCGACCCTCCATATGTGCAAGTTGGTTATCTATCATTAGTGTCGTAGCAGTTCGGTTGTTGCTGTCTTCTTTCCATCTTCTTTAGTGTCGATTTATTTCAGACGTGCATAGTGTATGTGTTGATTGTCTTCATCGTAAGTTGCATCTGGTGCAATGGAAGTTTCCAGATGTGTCGCTATCGAGAAGGCGTAGTGTGTCCGTATGAGTTGGTGTGACACTTGTTCAAGCTTCGTTTGTCGGGCTTGCAGGGTTGGAGCAGTTGGGAGTCTCCGGGGCAGAGTAAGTCTGGGTGATGGGCTCGCAGATGTTGCGGTGCGTCTTCCAGTCCGACTTTTGGCAGTTGCGGTCGCAGTAGTATGCTGCCTTGCAGCGAGAGCAGCGGCGTCGTGCGTGCTGACCAGAGCATGTGGAGCAAGCTATCATATGTTAGTAAATTGTTGCTGGTACAAGGGTGATATAATCATGTCGTGGTGTTAGGCCTCAAAAGCGGCCCCAATGTGAGTGGGTAAAGTGGAGCACCACATGGGCGCTAATGCAGTGCAGCGAATCAAATCGGGCTCCTGCGTCCCACCCATATGGAAATTGGAGATTGAAGATATACGATCGTAACAACTTACGTTTGCTGGTCAGCGCGCCGTTGAGACTCTCAGTGCTGGCCATGGGGCGCAGAGAGCGGAAGAGATCCGCGCGATTGAACGCTGGTGGAGGGGAGGTTGAGGTTGAAACCGATTGCGGTGTGAGAGAGCCGTTGGACGTGCTTCTTGGGATATCTGGCAAAAAATGTTAATATTAACATGAATAGAAATCGCTGAAGCGTGCGAAAGTATCTGGCAGGAAAACATACCACCCATTGCACTATCTCGTCGTTCCAACATGGGGTTTCTGGTGTTCACCGCTCCATTGCCTTCGCCAAGACTGTGCGTAAACACGTTCAAACAGACGCTTCGTGGCGGCATTTCCTTGCTCTTTTTGGGGGGATGTTTCTTCTTTTCCGGGACAGTTGGGTTGTGTTTGAAGGGATTTCAGGAGAAGAAGGGAATACTGGTATTTCAAGCAAAATCTGTCGCTGCTGAAAGTTTCGGTGAAAAGCGGTGTGAGGTGTGAGAGCACAGATCGCAAACTAGCCCAGGAACAGGCTAAGGCTTACCGAGCGCTGAAACGCGCGGTCAGGTGTCTCAGCCTTGAGTGATTCGATCTGGACGTATGAAGATTGAGAAAGTAAATTTGCGCTGCTTTTTCTCGCAGAAGAGCGTGGTTGTTGAGGTGCTAGGGGCCTCGGAGGCGTTGTGCCATATTGCAAGTCGCGCGCAGTCTGGGACCCGCGATTGGGGGATCTGCAAAACAAATCTCCGAGTGCGTGGCATGTCGAGTGCAATGGGGGTTCCAGCAGCATGATGCAACTGGAAAAGGAAACGGTGAGACCGCCAGATTGTGGGGTAGTCAGCCGCTGACCGACCTCGTGGCAACTGGGCCCATCCGGGTAAGCACAGCTGAAAATACTTTGACTGTTCGCCGCCAGTTCGACATGAAGACAGCGACAACGACAACGACAACGACTGCTTTGCGACCGAAACCTCCTGTCGCAGCCATGGCAGTGCCAGTGACTAACCAAGCCGTGCTATTGGGCTGCTGGTAAACTTACAACCCCGCATCGCCCTAAGCAGCGCCGGCAAAAGGCCCCCCAGGCATAGTTAGGGGGATGTAGCGGTTTGCGGTCAACGGTGAGCGATGACTCCTGATGTTGGATGTTTGCAGTGGATGAGTAGCTTGGCTGATGGCCAAGTAACCGGTGAACAAAAGGAGCTCCGCAGCTTACATATGCTGAAGAAGAGCGGGATGCACAGGTGAACGTAATCAGGGAAGGCAACCAGAAGACTTGAACAGGCACCAAGTGCACGGGTGGCGCCACAGCCGCTGATGTAGAAACTTGGACCTTCACCTAGTGAAAGGGTGGTAGCGGTGGTGGTGGGCGGACATGGCGCGTCACGTGATGTGGGTTGAGAAAAGGGCGCCCCACGGTAGTAGTAGCACTTGGTTCTACTCACTAGCCCCTAGGGTTGCTGATTAATCAACCCAGGCGCAACCGACTATTGTGTACATGGCAAAGGGCGTAATGGCCGGTCGAGATGGGAAGGTTCGCAATTCAGCTGGGATTGCGCAGTTGCTGCCTAGCCATTGCGCAAGCTTAGTAGGGCTGCCTGCTCGGGAGGCTGCAGATCTGCCTGGCGGACCACATGACGATGCAATGTCTGGGGAAAGCTAGAAAAGGCATTATCCTGAGGGGCTTGGCCGGGACAACGGCTCGGAAACGGCGTGCTAAGTACACAGCCTCGAATATCAGTCCATTGACCTGGAGGTTGGAATTCTCGGTCCACTCTTAGGGCGTGTGCTTGATGTGAGGAGGCTCTGCTGGTGCCACACTGTGGCGTCATTCTCGGAAGCCGGATGCGGATGGTCATGGGCGGGCATGCATCCAAGACGTGGGCGAGGGTGTTTATAGAGCAAGAGGGCTAGTGGAAGCAGCAAAGCAAGTCACGATGGCATTTTGCATTGTAGATTAGCTGCATTGTGTGGCTGCGCAGTGGTTCGCATGGTCCGCAGTTCGCTAGCATGCATCTGTCAACGGGTATTGTGGGTGGATGGCTGCGCTAAGAGGCTTGCAACGCCAGCTAGAAGCTCGTATAGAGGGAGTGGTCATTTGAAAAGATTGGCCAGGGTCGAGATGGGGAGGGACGGGTGCTGCGAGCGCTGCGCCTCACGTACGGGGCGAGCCGACGAGCAAGGAGAAGACGGAGTCACAGGGCGAAGCAGACGAACTACGCCCGTGCCAGATTGGGCAGCTTTGGACTGTTAGGAGTCACGGATGGCAGAATTGTGCGGGCGAGTGTGCACAAAGGGAGTGTGAATTGACAATGGGGGTGATTGGATGAGAAGGGCCAGAGGAATTTTTGCTGTTTCGTGTCGCTGACGGAGACAAGTGACAGGCAGAGTCGTTAGGTGCCACGTCCGGGTGGGCCGGCGGACGAACTGCTCTGGTCTGGCTTTTGGCATGCCAGCAGGCCGGGAGGTCGAGAGTGAGCAGAGAGGCCCAATTGTGAAGGACTGTGGGGCAGCAAAAATCCGGTGAGACAAGACCAGCAAGGCCAAAGGCGCCATAGGCTGCGTAGCGCCATGCACGTCGCTGTCGCCCGCCGGCAGCTGTGGGAATGGCAGGGTGCGCTGATGACTCCCTTCAGGACACGCAGCAATGGCTCCATCTCTGCCCGCCCTTGAGCGGCTCTGGTGGTACGTCGAGAAGGGCACTGCGGGAGCCACGCCTGCTTTTTTGCCTTTGCAACCACTGTCGTGGCTGGTGGTGAGCCGGCGGCTCGAGGGACGCTGCCGCCGTCCGGTGTGCGAAAACCAGCACCGCGGCGACATGAGGCCACCGTGCCAGAGGGCTGGATGTACGCATCATACTTGCACATGTCGACTCTTTTGCACAAAACCAAACAGCCACAGCTGGAAGGTGTGCGTTGAGACGCAGGCCGGCCAAGCTGCAGTAGTTGTGGCTGTGGCTGTGATTGTACCCCGGCAGTCAGCCATCTGCCCGCTAGACCCGAATAGGCGTGGCGGAGGTGGCTGGTGCCTCGACAAACAGGCAGTGACGGGGCCTGCAAGCCATAGGGCGCAGCTGTCACGCCCGTCACGCCCGTCACCACCATCCCCGACTGCTACACCACAACCACCACCACCATCCAAAAACAGCAGTCGACGAGCCTCTGTCCAAACGGCTGCACCTGTCCTGCCCTGCTCGCCGCAACACGTTTCAGGAGACGGTGCAGCGGCTGTTGATGCCCTCGCTGACCCCCTTTGCTCGCAGCAGCCACGCACAGCGACTAGGCCGCCAATCACAGGGCTGCCTGGCTGCAACATTTCACTTTCTCTAACGTCGGCCCAAAACACGTTTCTAGCTGCAGTTCCCAAGAAATCACAGGCACAGTCGTCATCTTCGCACCCAAGCAGACGTGCAGTCACCGCCCTCACTAGCGCGCCATGGGCCCTGGTCGCTGCTGCTGCTAATACCACCCCTGTCCGATGGGCGCAGGCACCCCGGCTAGCTCAGGCTTCCATCCACACCCAAGGCATGCGTCTACTGCGAGCGAGGATAGACATATAATTCCATGCCGCCCACGCCCACCATGGCTCCTCATACCAAACCCACTACCAACAACCCACCAGCACTCTGATCCGTCCACCCGCCTACCAGCTCTACTCGCCAGCCGAGTCTACTACGCCAACAACCCAACACCTAGATACCATTGTCGCTCTCACCCGAGAGTGACTTCATCGCTACCATATCGTACCTTGGCACAAACGTCACCACGGCTACCCCAAGGTCCATACTCAAGAAGCCGCCAACATCCTCTCCGGCAATGCCGTCTGCACGCACAAACATGCCTACGGCCGTCCACGCAAAGCCCGCCGTGGCCAAGAAGGAACGCGTGGTTGGCTTCTACGAAGACCCCGTCATCTCATTCTGCCGTCCTGTAAACACTTCCGAGAGCTGGGCTGCCTACCACTTTGAGATGCACGCCAGGAAGTGTGCTCACTGCCACAACGCCTACGAAGTCCACCGCAACCACGAGCGCCTCTGTGATGTCGGCCACGGCCTGGCCCAGGATGTCGCCCGCTACATCTACCACAAGTCTGGAGCCACCTACTCCACCATGGAGGAGAACAACAAGCTTGTCCGCGTCGAGATCCCAGCCGGTTACGTTGAAGTCTGCAGCCTCCTCAAAGCCATTGAGCGTAGCCTCCGCCACCGATCACGCAGGCCCTTTGTCTCCATGGACCGCAGCTACTACGTCGCTCCCCGCTCATCACCACCACCCGCCTCTCCCCCACGACGAAGCAACACTGTCAAGGTCGAGCAAGAGCCCAAGATCAAGTCCGCCCGACCACGAACCGACGACATTGTTGACTGGCCTCAACACACCGTCACCACCACCACCAAGGCAAAGCGTCCACTTTCTGAGATCAGCAACACCCCAAACTCCAAGCGCGGTTCCCTCTACGAGGAGGACCTGGCCAAGCAACGCCGCAACGCAAAGCACTACGCCGTTGAAGTCCGCGAGCCAACCAACCGGGACATCCGCGAGCAGCGCTCGTCTGGCTACTACCGATGAATGACGACCTAAGCATTCTCTTTGCGCTTTACGAAATACCATCTCATGATTGATACGACTTATTACGCCATCAGTCTCTTACTAAGAGCCTAGCGTCCGCCGCTATGTGCTCGACTTCCATGCACGTGTGAGACGGGCGGAAGCTGCAAAAGCTCCGCGGCAGTCCACACTACCACCACAGACCGATTCCTCATGTTTTTGCACGCCTTGTTTTCGCGTTGCTTAGTACACATGCTGGCTGGGACGGCGAGGGAGGAGTGGAATGTACCATCGGGGGGAAGATGCCTCCACCTTTACGGTGTTGAGGGTAATGGATTAATGCAGGGGGGGTTGATGGACCCTGGAATGATGGGATGGAAACGCCTAGATGACGCTGAAGGGCGGGGCTTTGGGACTTTGTTGACACATGTACTATTTTAGATAGCTATTAATGGAACAACATTGTTCGACACTTGACAATATTTCTTGCCATTCTGAGGTGACCTTTTTGCCACTGAGTACTAAGGATAGCACGGATGATGAATGACGGCCTTGGGGGCATTGAGTGCATCGTGGAGGGATTGCCGGGTAGAGCTAGCCCGCAGCGAAATGGCAGAATGTGCGTGCCATGGGGAGATTACGCTGCACCAAGCATCCATCTACTGAGACCCTCGACACACTCAAACATGGGCAACTGGCACGCTATCACGTCCACCACACCTCGGCAGCTCCCTCTGGACGTAGGCGAAGGCTGTTTCCTTTGCTTCGAGTCACACATGGCCAATGGCACCACGACACCCCTTGTCTTATCGCTACCCATGCTACTATCATGTGGCCAGGAATATATTGATCGCCGGCGCCGATACGACCTGTGAACAGGTTTGCTGAAAAGACCCTGACGTTTTTCTGCCCCGTGGCTCAACACCCTCTCCATCATCCGAGGTGCCTTTGATTCTGCGCTACCCTTCTTGGACACACCGGTATACCAAGACCTGCAGAGGGCGCGCGCGCGCGCGCACACCCGCTAGCTACTGCACGCAGACCCTCGTGCAAAAAGGGCTGAATGCGCTTCTTCGCAAAGTATGGTGTGGTTTGTGGAGTGATTGATGGCTGAGTAAAGAGTCCGGCGTGGTTGGCTTCATGGCCCCAAGACACAGAGGCAAAGATACGACATCATCACCAGCTTCAGCCGAGTCTTGAGCGTGCCGCCATGACGTCTTTGGGTGCTGAAGAGCCTTGTCGAGGGTAAGGATATGGCGCGGAAGGATTGGTGATGCGGGGCAAGGCAGACGTCAGGGTCTCCGGCTACCAAAAGTTGGCAACCGGGACCAGATCCAGTACGACCACCAACACTACAGTACGCATGTCAGCTTCGAGTCTCGTAGCCAAGGAGTCTCAACATGAAACAACATGACTATGCGACGTCGTACAGTGCAATGCCGCATCGTCAATTGCTACGTGGAGGGTGAAATGGGGGTCAATGGCAATGGTGACGATGGCAGAATGGTGTTGGTGTTGCGGGGTACGTACTACTGCCAGTCACATAGTACGGCGAGCGTGGCAAGAATGCACAGTGTGCGTGTGCCGTGGCCTCTGAAAAACGGACAAGCATGGTTCGCATTAATTGCTGGCAACGTGCAAATCAGGAGCCTCACTTTTTTTTTAGGAAGGCATGAAAGGAGATAGGTGTCCGTTTTTCCTCAACCCACGTTTACGGAGATCGTCCCCGTTCGTATACGCGTCCACCGCGAAAAAGACCGACGATTACTACGCCTGCTATTACCGGCATCATACATACGTCAGAGGACGGAGCGGGTGTGTAATAGCTGAATGTGTATATCGGGTGCCGTGTATACCGTGTGCAGTTTTACTGTCCTTGGGAGACAGAGGAACATCAAACGAGCAGGAGAACAAGAGAAATCGGGGAGGGGGAACAGCGTTTCGCAATCGGGCTACGCGCAAACCCCCCCGCCCTCAACATCTAGATTGCAATCTGGCACTGATCGATATTCAGATTGTGATTCCAGAACAATTGGGCTCCACTGAAATTGTGCATGGACAGCTGTCACTCGATTGCGCGCTGCCATCTGCACCCCCGTCTGGGATATTCCAGGCGCACATCGCCAAAACAACCGAGGGTATGCCAGACTCGGTCCTTGGGTGTGTCAAAGTCAGCAAACTCTCTCTCTCTCTCTCCACCGGCGCCCAACCCCCCGGTCCAAGCCTGACTGACTTACTTACTGTGTACATTACCCACTACTGTATACAATTCCCAGATGGTTTGTAAAGTGGGCTCCCCACCCGCAGCCCCAAGCCCCAAGGGCAAACTTTCCAATATTCAATATTCTCAACGAAAAAAAAAGAGTCGCGACATCCAGCCCTGGTCTTCCGCGTCGGCAATGTTGTGCGTTAAAGATTTGTGGTTTTTGTGGAGTTTGACCGACCCCATCCGATTGTGTGTGTGTTGACGGGTTCCCACTTTTTGCAAATGCGGCTAAAACAATCAAAAAGGGCGAATGCGACAAAAGATAGGCCTGCATGCCAGAGGTGCAGCATGCATGCATGATGCATTTGGCAAGCCTCACCGGTCGAAACTTTGTGTGGTGGTTATTTCCTTCTGGACCCAGTTATTAACTACATACATACATATGTACATATCAGTACCTGAGCCAGAAGCCGCGCGCACCCACCCACCCCATCGGCGGTCTCCCCACAGCTCGCACCCGCAACTCCGAGACGGTCTCGATCGCCCTCCCCGTGTATCGGGCGTCTCCGACCCTGCCGTTTCATCCATCACAAAGGAGAGCATTGCGCAAGCACACATGCCAACTCATCTCCCCGCACTTACCAGGGCCCTCTTTGGATTACACTTACTACTACGCTCTGTTCAACCCGGTCCCCCCCCTTTACTTTGCTTTGTTTCCACTGCCCAGCCAGTACTGCCAGCGTGTCCACCCTTTCTCCGGCGTGATCGTCGAACACCCTAACTCTACCCTCTCTCCCCTTCCCGTCGTCCCCACCTCCCTCACCCCCAAATGAATGATCCAGCCGCTTTTTTTTTTGGCTTACCCGCCCGAAGGTTTGAAACAGGGAAACAAAACGAACAAGGCCTTACCCTATCGTGATCTCACCCAACTGTTACCCAACCCACCCTGACTAGGACCCATACTTACCGTACTTACTCCACCCTTGCTCTTGCGCTCTGTCTCTCTCTCTCTCTCCCCACACTCCGGTCATCATCCACGGGCAGCCCACCCAGAATATTGAACGACCCAGTTTTTTCCATCCCTTCCATCGGTCATCTTTCTTGTCGTTCGAGACACGCCCGATGGTGGCCAGTCCGGTGCCCGAATGCCGTTGAGATGTGTGTGTGTGTGTGTGTGTGCCAGCGTGTCGTGTCCCGTTTTCTACACTACACGAGACGCACGCCCGTGCGTGTGTGTAACTCTTGTGTGTGTGTGTTTGCGAAAAGCTTAGGCCAGGAACCCAGGCCTTTGCTAGACAAGACACACACACACACCCGTTTATAATACTTTACGCCTAGTTAGCGAAGGGCAGCCCAGCACCCCTGCCCAATGGGCCGCTAGAGGTGTTTTTTTTTTCTTGTCTTTCGCGGCTACGACTGGGAATATGACATTTGAGAATGCGAATGATGCCCACTCACACCACAAAAAAAAAGGTTTTTTTCTTAGCTCATGGGGTTGGTGGTAGTGTAGCTTTCCCGAGGTGAGATGGGTGGGTGGGAGGTTGGGTGTTGCAGGGCTGTGCCTGGATCAGGTACGTGGCAGAAAGGGTGCGTGCGATTGGGCCGTTATGATAGGGAGGGGGGGGGTGGTTGGGTTGGGTTGGGCGGGAATGAGAGCGTGTTCGGTGGTCCGGTGTTTGTGTGTGTGTGGTGGGTTTGAGGCGCAGCATCGGGGG